CAAAAAAGTAAGTAGGGCCTAGAGGAGCTGCCAACCCCCAGGAACGGGCCGCGGGGCGGAGTGGGGGCGAGGGCCCTGGGTGCGAGCGCCGTGGGCAGAGTGCGCCCCGGCCCGGCCCGGCGCCCATGGCCGCCCCTTTCACGCTTTCCGAGGCCGTGTTTGTTGCGTGCAGGTTTTAGGTAGTGGAATGTGTAGAATTTTAAAGAGTGTTCTTGGGGTACGAGTGTTTAAAAAACTAGCGTTTATACAAGATGCCAAAAAACCCATCTTCAAGTATTTTCTCTGTCTTCTACCTACCCTGTTAATACTTAAACGTTATTACTGTTTTTTAAAAACTACTGTCTAGCAGCTTGTTTTCTATACTAGTAACACGTGTGTGTGCGTGCACACGTGCGGTGAAGTGGCCCGGCCCGGCCGCGCTGGCCGCCCCCACGGGCGCTGGAGCGGCTCGGAGTGGACCTCACACGCGTGCTGAGTGTCGGGAGCGGGTGGCTTGGGCGTGGCGGGCCCGGGAGTGCAGACCAGGCGGCTGGGACCCGCGTGGGCGGGAGGAGCCTGGGCGGCTGGGGGTCCTGCCCGTGTGGGCGCGGAGACCCGTGACGGTCCGTAATGGGATGTTGTTGGTGCAGTTCACAGAAAACCTCCGTCTTTAATTTTTTGCTTCTTGCGTTGGCTCTTTAGTAATTTTATACTATGGCCTTCTTCCATGGGTTTTTGTTTTGTGGGGTATTTTCCGGTCTGTTGTATTCTTCATAATATATTAAAAGTTGTCATTAAATCAACCCCAAATAGTGTTCCATTTCTGTTTTAACAGTCATTGGTGATAATATTTCTCAGGGAAAAGTTTATGCCAAGTTAAATGTATAACTTCAGGGAAAAAAGAAACTTGTTTTCCCGTCAGGAAAATAAACATTAAGGAAAGGAAGCAGGTGAGCGTTGCATTGCCTTTTCCTTCCCTTTGACTGAAATCACCGCGGTCGACATCCGGCCCCTGCGCTGACAGACCCCCGGCGCCGCCGGCCGCCGGCCCCGAACACGCTGGCCCCGCAGCTGCCCCGCCGCCGGCCGGCGCTGCGCTGAGGTGCTGGGGGTCTGCCGCTGCGGTGTCACCCTGAATCTTGTTTTCTCCCAGGGGTTTGTATACCCAGCTCTAAGGAGGGGGTGCGTTTTTACGGAACCGATTGTCTTTGTAAAATGCATGACATGATCAGAATATTAGCCTGTCATCAAGACTTCATGTTTTTTTCTAAAAAATGTAAAGCTTCCTGTTCAGAGCTCTTATCAGCTGGAAACAGGCGGCCGCCACCGGGGGAATGGGAGGTCGTTGCTGGAATGCCCTCCTTTCGAAGGCGCAGCCCTGTGGCGGAAGCTGCGGGGAGGTGGCCCACGGGCGCTGGCCAGGCGCCAGGGGACGGCTGGATGCGCCCTGTAGTTCGTTTACTCCGCCGAACAAGCTTATTGTGCCAGGAAGTCTGAGCTCATTCACGTTAAACAACTTATTCAAAGATCCAGCTGTTAAGCTGAGGTGGCAGCTCCTTTCGGACCCAGGGTCTTCATGGCAGCGGCTGCGGGCCCCGCCTGGAGGCTGAGGGCCCGTGCGGAGCGCACCTGCTGCCGCCAGGGGGGCGGGGGGGCCATGGCAGGGCACTGCCCTCCCTGGACTTCGGGCTCCTTCTTCTTGTCCATCCCCCCCTTCCTTCTCCTGGAGCGCCTCGTGGACCTGTTCTAAAGAAGAGGAGAAAGTGAGCGTCCCACCCCCTTCTGTGGATGCGTGGCGCGTGGCGGCTGACGAAGAGGCAGTGGGGCCCTGGGGGGTGGGCGCTGGCCAGACCTGCCACGCTGATGCCGCGGTGCGGGGGGGTGCAGCGAGTGCGGGGAGCCCCTGCGGGCTTCTCTGCCCGCCCCCGCACGGCAGCGGGCCTGGGGCGCCTCCCTCCGCGTTTGGGGGATTAAATGCTGGTCTCTTAGCAGCTGGCGCTGGCAGACTTTCACATACGTTAGTATCGTTCGTTATTTTGGCCGCTGCACAACCAAGGTTTAGGTTCAGGGACTTGATTTATCAGGTTTGATAAAAATCACACCAGCTGCACTTATCATTGGCTGAATAATCGAACAGAATACTACTTTATTTTATTAAGGGAATATTCTAATAACAACTATACTCAGCTATTCTGTGTGATGTTAAGGTAACCAGGCAAACCAAATTAATATTTATTAGCACTTACTTAGTGCAAGTGAAATCACATCAAAGATAGTTTTTGTGGGCTACTTTATGTAGGTTTGATAGACTAGAGTAGAAATAGTACTTCTCTGTGGACAGGAGTGTATTCCTGCTGGGCACACTCTCTGTCCTTGGGTCTACTCTTCTTTTCATTTGTTCCAGCTTTTTGTGGAAGGCAAGTGGCTGAAGTGCATGCGTCGTGGAGATGCCGTTTGCGGGTTCCTTCTGGCCCGTGAAGGGCAGCAGTGGGCGTGGCGGGTTTTCGTGAGGACGACGGGGCCGAGCGTTCTCTCCCAGGCCCAGGGGAGGCGTCCCTTTAGCATCCAGTGATGTGGAATGGTTTCTGGACAATCCCCTGAGAAGCTGGTGCTTTTGTGGTGTGGGGGACCCGTAGGTATACATAGCTGTTTCATTCTCTTCACACATGTTGTAAAACTAGTCGTTTAGCAAAACGGTTGCATTCCTTGGAGGTTAGTTTGGTTCAGATTATTCTGGAAGAGTGATCCTTTGGAGGAGCCAGGGTGGTCAGGCCAGTAAACAGCGGAGACTGGCACGTGTCGTACAGAGGTGATTTCAGGGTGGTACCGGGGCGAGCCTCAGAGGCTTGGGGTAAAATAGGACCCCCGTAATAAAAACATAAAGGCATGTAACTAAATTTATGAGTTCTCGTTTTCTGAAGTGCTGCCCCGGGGGCCTCTGGGGGAGGCGGGAGAGGAGGGCCAACGGCGGGCAGGGAGCGTGGCGGAGAGGCGCGTGGCACACGGGAGCGCTTGGCCCGCGCAGGGCGCGGCCTGGAGAGCAGGGGCCGGTCCTGACGCAGCTCCTGTGTGGCTCCGTGGTTTAGGCGCCTGCCCCACGTGCTGTCGCTTACGCAGGCTTTGCTGCTTGACCCAGGCTGGACGGTCTCAGTTTACAGAATCTGGAGGGAGCGGAGCTGGACTCTGCTAGCTCGTTAGGCTTCCTCGGACCTCGCCCACTAACCAGGCCCCCCAGCCCAGACCTGCGGCTCAGTGGCTCCTGGCATGTGTGCTCACTCCGCCTGCATAGTGACCCGTGGGGGCCAGAAATGCACCCCAGTGGTGTAATTTTCATGGCGTTTATGTAGTAACCCTGTTCTAATATCCCATTTTCCACACTCCCAGAAATCCTTGTTAGGTCATAATCATCGGTGAAGAATAGCTAGTGGATTGGGGGAGTGGAGAGATGCTGAGCCGTGGTAATGCGCTGATGGCTCAGAGCCTGGGAAGCTGTAGCAAGAGTGGTGCTAAGGAACGGCCCAGTCTGAGCTCGTTTTCACGAGACTTGGGGTGCATCCGGGCGTCCGCTGAAGGTGGAACAACGTGGTACGTTGGGGCGACTCCAGCGGAGCAGCAGCGGAGTCTCTGTTGCGCCGGAGGCAGGAGAGCGGCCCGGCAGTCAGACACGGGCCTCGGGAGCGTGGGGCCTCGCCCCCCCCCACCTCCGGCGGAGGGTCGCCGGCTGGCCAGCCCAGACGCCCCCAGAGCTGCGGTGCCAGCCCGTGGGCTGCAGACCACCGAGAGTCGCTGGGGTGCTGTGTACAATGCGCTCCTGAGTGTAATGCACACCCACAGTTTTGGCCCAGACTTTCAGGAAAAAATTCTTTCGTTTCAATTTTTAATTCAGTTATTTATATTTAGAAAGAAAACTGATCATTGTATTGCAGGGTATTATTCTCCATACGGATATTGTTATTGCTTTCTAGAGTTGCATTTTTAATGCGTAATCATAAATAAAACAATTACATAAAACACAACAAAGTGGACTGAGCACCAGCCTGCAAACCAAAGGGTCACTTGTTTGATTCCCAGTTAGGGCACAAGCATGGGGTGGGGGCCAGGTCCCCAGTAGGGGGCGCACGAGAGGCAGCCACACATGGACGTTTCTCTCCCTCTCTTTCTCCCTCCCTTCCCCTCTTTAAAAATAAACAAAAATCTTCTAAAAAAGAATTAAAAATATTTATATGGATATGGAATTAGTACTACTCATGTAAACTGTGCATTCTTATTTTTCCCTCAAAAATTTGAGCAAAAAAGTATGCATCATACACAGCAAAATACGGTAAATCACAAAGGGCTGAATCCCGTGATCCTAAGAAAAGCATCCCATAGCTGCGTGGGCTTTAGCCTGCCTTAGAGTGGTGTCCTTTTGTAATTTCCTCTAGAAATGAGATGAGAACAATCTAAATGGCGTTCGTTGATTTGGGGCCAAGTTGTTCATATTGGAAATTAGTTACAACGATCTTCGCAGAAGAGTTTCCATTTATTCCCATTCACGGCAGGACTCAGGCTGAGCCAGGCGGAGGCGGGAGCTCGCCGGGTCTGGGGTTTAGAGCTGGGCTTGTCCCGCGACTGCTTGAGCGAGACGCGTAAACCTGGAGACTTGTAGGGACCAGTCTTGAACACAGGGCCCATCGTGGTGCCGGGTTAAGTGGGTGGTTGTAGAGAGCAAGTAAAATGATGCGTGTCCAGATGCGGCTGGAACTTGCCGAAGAACCCGTGAACGTTGGCTGTCGCTAGTGTCCGCTGCTCTACCGCCATGGAGACGAGCAGGCGGAGAGAAATCGGACTTACCTTGTCCAAGTCCCGTAACTCGATGTGAAGACCAGGGTCCTACGTCTGTTAGTTTCTGTCTCGGGTGTTGAAGGCAACGAAACATTTTCAAAAGCGGTGAATCGCTTTTTTCATTTATTATTGTTATGAAAAGTGACTCTTTCCAGAATGCTATGTTTTCAGAAATGTATCCTTTTACTGTCTTGTAGGATTTGGAGTTCCATGGAGTGATGAGGTTTTATTTTCAAGATAAAGCCGCCGGAAACTTTGCCACCAAGTGCATCCGGGTCTCCAGCACTGCCACCACTCAGGATGTCATCGAGACACTGGCCGAGAAGTTCCGGCCCGACATGCGCATGCTGTCGTCTCCCAAGTACTCGCTCTACGAAGTGCACGTCAGCGGAGGTCAGTGTGCCGCCGGCGCGGGCGCCGTGGCCGCAGCCCCGCCCCGGGAGGGACTCGGGTGTGTCCGCGCTGCCCCTTTAGAATGGCTGCGTGTCTCTCCAGAGGCGGGCGCGGCGCCTCGCGCGTTGGTCAGCCACCGGCCTGGGAGTCAAGGCCCTGGATGGACCAGCGAGCCACTTGCTTTTGGAGAAGTATTGCAGGTGGCTGTTACGGGTCATTATAATAGCGCAGTTCACTGTGACGCAGCTCAACGTGAGGGAGGGATCGTTGCTCTTACTGTAACGGTCTTGTGGTGTGAAACAGCGTGGTGTATTATCGTTGGGGAGAGCTGGGGCATCTTGAGGAAGCTCTCTTGAGTACCTAGTAGTAATTTCTCCTTCTGTCAGTATTTGAGATACCTGAAAATATCCCACGTATGTATATCAAATGACAAACTGATGAGAAATGTAGAAACTTATAAATTTATGAGTGCTTTAAAAATGTTGAGTCACCTGTAAAAAAATCTAATTAATCAGCAAATAAACGATCACGCATAACCCAAACCCAGTTTGAATACTTGTAAACTTCTCTCTACAAATCCTTTTCAAACATTATTTTATTTTATTTTATTTTTTACTGCAAAAATACAGCTTCTTTTGTAAATTCGAAGTTGGGCAGAACTCTCGCCACGTGTGGAGTTCAGGCACGGCCGCACTCTTGCCCCACGGCCCCTTTGTAGCGTGGCCCAGAACTAAGCGTGGCCGTGCGGGGCCGTCTCCGTTTCGGACGGTCCCGAGGCTGAGCGCCCCCCGGTGTCGGGAGCCCGCGCAGGAGGAGGCAGCCCCTGCTTTCCAGCCCGTTTTCTGGGGGCCAGGTGTGGCTGTCAGAAGACGGCCACCGAGGGCAGTCTTTGCAGCAACATGACGCCAGGTCAGAGTTAGAAATCTAAAGGCAGGATGATGGTGATTTTTTAAAAGAACCGTTTTCTTTAGATTTTCTTAGATTTGTTTGAAACGCTAGTATGCATTAAACGAAGGGATTCTCGTTCCATCCCTCAGGGCAGCTGCTCCCCACCGGGGCGCTTCGCCCTGGTGTTTATTGGCTTTATGATTCAGGTGTAGCTGTTCCTAACACTCCCTAAAAGTCCTGGATGAAGGACTTTACCGTGTGCTCACTGCACAAGAGCATCTTGGTGATTTTGGTTGTAGCAGGAATTTCAGACTCCTCAGTCCAGTTATTGACCCATTACTCTGGTTTCCATTTCCATGTTTTTGGTTCATAAAACAGTAATTTAGAGTTTGCTGTGCTCACATGCTGACAACGTGCGTTGCTGTCCGCACGAGCCCCTCCCGACTGCTCCTATGGGCCGCCTGCCTTTGACGTCTGCCCCGGCACCTCAGTGTCCCGGCCCCGGCTTTGCCGCCCTGGTTTTGGCACCTGGTGTGCACAGAGGCCTGGCTGGTCGCCGCCGCTGCTGGCTCCTAGAGGGCCCCAGCGGGCCGCCCTTCCCAGTCTGTGCGCCCGAGGCCGCCAGGTTCCTGATGCGGGAGGCAGCGCAGCGAACCCAGCGCTCAGTCACAGCAGGGGCAGGGCTTCACGGGGGGTGGGGTCCAGGGCCCTGTGTTTGGCGGTGGCAGGAAGAGGAGCAGTCGCTTCCGAGCCCGACGTTGCTGCGCGGGACGTTGCCATTTCTTCATAGCGTGTGACATTCATGAGACAAAAGCCCCTTTGACTCAGTGGCACCTCGGTGATGTTAGTGACATGGCTCCTTTATTTTCCTGTCGCATCTGAGAGAATTTCATTTACAGAAACAGGCTGAGAGCAAGGCTGTGTGCTTGGATTTTTCCCCTTGTTCCTGTGTGTGTCTCTTATTTCCGCAGTTACGCTCTAAATGTTGTGAGGAAATTGTCCCTGGTCAGCCTCTGCACAGGGCACGTGGCGGTGCACATACAGTGGCAACAAAATACCGAATTAACGATTAAACTCTCCCTTCTTCACCTTTTGAATTGCATTTCAGTCTGTCAGCAAGCACTCGAGGTAGTGAAGTGTTTCCTGTTTACAAAAGCAAACACATCTCAGAAGGTCGGGGTAGCTAGAGCCACGGACTAACCATGGCTTCCCTTCCTTTCGTTGCATGTTCTGAAGAAGAAAGAAGATTGGACACAGACGAGAAGCCCCTGGTCGTGCAGCTGAACTGGAACAAAGACGACCGGGAGGGCAGGTTTGTCTTGAAGAACGAGAACGACGCCGGCCTTCCGAAGGTGGGTCCCGGGTCCTGCAACGGGCGCTTGCGCCGCGGGGTCCCGCCCTGGGCGCCCCTCATCCTGGGGCACGTTTCGCCCCTTCCTCCGGGAGGTAACGTAGAAGCAGCCCGGCTCTCCCTGCTTCGTCCTCTGTTTTGCGGGATAATCCCAAACACTGCCCCTCGCTTTTTTAAGGAGGAGTTACGTGAGCTTCTGTCGCTGAGACTGCGTGCTCAAGCTCCCCCAGTTATAAAGTCAGGGTGCGTTAGTGCGGACCAGAAGGGAAAACAAAGCTCTCATAGTCTGTTTCTGTGGGAACGTCCAGCTGCAGCTTAGTATGGCGCATTTAGGACCTTCTTCATATTGTGTCGTAAGGCTGGGAATGAGAAAACTTGCTTGGGTCTCTTTGGGTGGCGTAGCAGAGGGATTCGGTTCTCTCGGGTGGCGGGTGGCATGCCTGGGATTCCTGTGCCACTGTCCTATGTGGGGTACAGTGACAAAGTGGTCATCTGAAAAAAGCTGCCATTCTGTGTTAAGGGACATCTTACATGAGCCTTCAGCGTTGACAAGCAACGGCAAATGCAGAGATTAAGAATATTTTGGAAAAAATCTTGGACTTAATTCCCCCCCCCCCCCCAACAGACTGGGGAAAGGCTGCCACCATCCCCTTGGGCAGCAGCAAGTTCGCGTTTCGTTGTTCGCCTTCTGTCCTCTGTGCTGGGGCGGCAGGCGTGCAGAGGCGCCTCCGTGGCCTCGCAGGTGAGCGGCAGTGGCGCCAGAGCACTGCGTGCGCAGAAGTGAGGCTGGGGGCTGCGCGGGTCCTGCTGCGCCGCGGTGTCCGCTGGCGCGCCCTCTCGTGGCCACGGAACCCGTCTGGGACTGCGCTGGAGCAGCTGCGGTGGGTGCACCTGCGGCCCCGGTGGCGCAGGAAGGCAGCCCCGCAGAGAACCACGCAGCGAGGTTCTTCCTGACCACCTGCCGGCCGGCCTCTCACCCTGTGCACGAAAGTGTCTGTGCGCCACTGGCTCGCAGGCCGTGCTGTGAATTAGGACGAACAAGCAAATACACAAGATTCCTAAACCTTTGCTTTACTAAAGGCCAATTTACTTCAGCTGCTCTTAACGTTTCTTTTGAAGTTAAAAAAGTCTATAAAATAGATAATGGTTTAAATGCTAGTGCCCTATTTTCCTACGTTTCTTTTATTCCAATTATTTTATGTAAATGAATTGGATTTTTATTTATTGGAATCAGATATCATGATTCTCACCCTGGTTTTCCTGCTGGGTTTGTTTTTCCTCTGGCTTCTCTCTCACTCGTGAATCTTGTGTTGCGGTAAAGCTCAGGCAGAGCAAAGCGCGCAGGCGGCGAGGGCAGACGTCACTGCGGTTGGTGCGCGCCGGGCGCCGACAGCCCTGGGAGGCGTCCCCATGCCTGGCACTGGGCTGCAGGCCGCAGCGCGCGGGGCGGACCGAGCTCAGCCTCTGCCTGGCTTGGCGCCGCGCTGCGGCCCGCAGCCTGACCTTGTTCCTCTTCTCAGAAGGTTCAAAGTAACGGGCCCGAAAAGCAGGAAAAGGAAGGTGTCATCCAGAACTTCAAGCGAACGCTCTCGAAAAAGGAGAAGAAGGAGAAGAAGAAGAGAGAGAAAGAGGCGATGAGACAGGCATCCGACAGAGATGACAGGCCTCTCCACGGGGACGACGTGTAAGTTGCTCTTGGAAACGTGCCTGTCTCTGCGCGTCCTGAGCCGAACGTTCTGACCGTGGTGACTCACAGTGAGGCTGCTGGCCCAGGCACTGACTCTCGGGGGTTGCGCTTGGCTGCCAGTGACACGTGCCAGCCCGCTGTGCTTGCCGGTGGGGTGGGGAGGCCGAGGGACCGAGCCGCGCCTCTGAGCAGGCCATGGCTGTCCTCGCGTGCTCTGTCCTCGCTGGCCTTTCTCTGCGCGTCCGCTGGTTTGGCCCTGAAGGCAGCCGTGGTGCCTCGTGGCCTGCGCTGCGCCAGCCCGTGAGCCGCGAGCAGGGCCCCTGTCCCCTAGGGGTCGGATGTGCCGCCTCCCCCTCCTCACACTGCCCCTCCAGCCGCCCTGGATGTCCTGCCTGCGCAGAAACGTGTGGCCTTCTGACCTCAGAACCGAGGGCATGAGGGAAGGCATTGCGTTTTCATCGTGAGGGAAGGAGGCGGGAGCCCTGGCCAGGCGGCGCGGTGGTTGGCGGGAGCGTTGGCCCTGTTGGCCAGGGTTGCAGGCTCTCCCCCGGTCAGGGCCGTGCGGGGGTCGGCCAGCGAGCGCCTCCGTAGGTGGGCCTACACGTCGGTGTTGCTCTCGCTCTTCCTTCCTCTCTCTCTCTGAGATCAACGAGTAAAAATTTAAGACACACAGACAGACATTCAAGGAGCCTGGCCTGTCCCCTTACCTCGGGGTCTCCGGGTCCGAGTGTGGCCCTGTCGGCTCTCGGGTTCTTCCAGCCACGCGGCGTCACGTGCGGGCCCTCCCGCATCTGGGTGCTGCGCGCCCGCTGCTGCTGAAGGTGCAGGCGCTCACTCGAGACACGCAGCGTGTCACCGCTGGAGTCCAGAGAGGACCGCAGTTCGCTTTTACCACACAAATACACACACTGTGTATTTATGACAGAGTTTTACAGTAGAAATATATTCACAGTCTTTGAAAATTAGAACTTCCCCATGACATTTTCCCACTAATACTTGTAATTTATTTTACATAAAATATATTCACAAGTATTATACACATTCACAAAAAACATATATTAAGTAATTTAAGTGAATATACAGTATTCTGTTTATGTCCTTTTTCCAACATTTATGAAACCAGCCCGCTTTGTGTTCTCATAGGTGTCCGCAGGTTTCGGGGGTATTCTAAGTAATACTGCATTGACTGTCCTCGTTCCAGAATGTGAGGGCCTCCTGTCTCCCTCCTACAGCTGTATTTTAGAAGAAGGCTCGGGCCTGGCCTGGCCAGACTCAGCCTCGCCCCGGGAGTCCCCGCAGCCGCCCTCCGCCCCGGGCCCTGAGCCTGCTGGCTGCGCCGGGGCAGTGCCCTGCCGCCTGGCGCGGGGTGTCTGCGGTGAATGGGATTTATGTCATCACTAACGAGGTGGCTGTCTTTCCGCACCTTCTCGTCTGCTTATATTTATTCTTCTGTTGCTGTGACCTCCTCAGGTCTTTTTTTCTTCTGTCTTGATTGAGTCTCAGTGTGCTGTGTGTATGGGGGATATTAACTGTCTGTCAGTGAAGGACGTTTGCTTCAGAGTGGAATTTGAGCCCCTTGTGCGTGGCATCACCATGGATGTAGCTGTTAGCCGGGGAGGCAGCGAGGCCGTGGAGGGAGCCTGCGCTCCTGGGAGCCGTGCTGCAGAGTCCGGCTCTGTCAGTGTGGTCGTGAGAGAAAGCACGTGTGTGAGTGTGCTGCTCACGTGTGAAATATCAAGGAGAGGAAAAGATCGGAACTTAGGTGAAGGTTTGCTTTATTTATCCATTGTTTCTTAAACATTTTGCTTATTTATTTTTAGGGAGAGAGGGAGGGAGGGAGACAGGGAGAGAGGAACATGGATCGGTTCCTGGTGCCGCCCCCCGCCCAGGCACATGCCCTGACTGGGAATCGGACCAGAGACCTTGCGGTTTGCAGGACGGTGCCCAACGCGCTGTGTCCACCAGCCGGGGCTGCTCTGGTTATCCGCTGAGTTCCTGAGGTGTCACCTTCTCTATGTTAAGATTAGCTACTTAAAATGAATTAAGTTGGTCAACTGGATTTCCGTTTGAAAACTTAGCCTCAGGAAGAGATTGGTAAATCTTTTAGTTAAAAAAATCTAAATATAATCAATCTTCTTTTCATTTTGTTTGTTTTCTGATAACGGGTAGAAATTTCTGAAAGATGTAATTTATACATTTTTCTTTTAGCTTTTTTTACAACACAATAGTTAAATTGTGTGAACTCACTATAGAATTTTAATTACAAAGTTCTGCTTAGTGCAGCACATTAGCTTGGTTTGAGAGAAGCGGCGCCCTTTGTCCCTGGTGACCAGGCACGGCGTGGCAGCAGCCACAGCAGGCCTGCGCCGGGCACGGGGCAGCCGATGCGCGGTCACGCCGGCTCTGACAGAAAGTGTTTGCGTGTGCTTGGTGCCCTGCCCGCAGCGAGAACTCCCGCCTGGCCGCCGAGGTCTACAAGGACATGCCCGAAACGAGCTTCACGCGCACCATCTCCAACCCCGAGGTGGTGATGAAGCGGCGCCGGCAGCAGAAGCTGGAGAGGAGGATGCAGGAGTTCCGGAGCGCGGACGGGCGGCCGGATTCCGGTGCGGGCCTCCGGCCGCTTTCCCGTTGGGTTTGTTGTAAAGGGTGGTGTTTAGTTACGGTTTTTATATGTGCATGAGACCTCACTCAGTTAAATTAATCGGTGGGGTGGGGGGCAGCCTGCTAGCAAATGTGTGTTGTGTCTGGTGCAGAATCAGGGTTGGCTTCAGTGTAGGGGTCTGTTCACAGAGAGCTGCATCTAGTCACACGCGTTTCCCTGCACGGCTCCCCCCCCCCCGCCCCCGTAAATTCTCGCAAATATCAAATGTCTACAAAGGAAGAGATGCAGGGAGCTCCCCAGATACGCGTGACTAAGCTTCCTTGTTAGCCACTTACATTTTATCTCTACTCCCTCACATACTGCCCCCTTTTCTTACCTGTATTAATTTGAAGCCAAGCCCGAACTTCTGGTCATTCCGCCCTCGCGTATCCCAGCGCGTTTCCCTGTGAGGTAGGCTTCCTCGGCGCCCAAACCGCAGGGCCGCTGTCCCGTACAGCGGGGTCACCAGTGACCCCTTGCGGCCCTCGGACGCCCCGCCGCGGTTCGGGTTTTCCTGACGGCCTCCGTGAGTCCTTGTGTTTAAGCCCGGAATCGGGTAACGCCTACGTACCTCGGGCGAGTCCTGCGTCTTCCGTGCTACAGTCCCTTTTTATTTTGTCTCCCAGTTAGCTTGTTTGTTGGTTGGTTTGTTTTTTCAAAAGGAAACCGAGGTGGTTTCTGTAGGTTTTGCTGACTGCGTCCTGCGGTGCCCTCTGCCATTTTTGCCTCCTGTTGGTCTGTTTCCTCAATTAGGTAAAAGTCCAGGCCCAGGAGTTTTGGGAGGAGGGGGTGGGACAGAAACCCTCACCCTGGTATCACTCACAGGTGAGCGGTGGTTTGGAAGAAGTTTCATGAGTCATGGATTTAAAACTTCTCCATGAGGGCCTGCCCCTCTGTCACTGTGAGTCAGGTTGTCAAAGTGCGGTCCGATCATAAACAGAAAGCAAAGTACAACCCCAAAGGTACCACTAGCATCTATGTAGACTTTTGTTAAAAGTGCGCAAGCGACAAAGAAAACCTCAGGGTGTTTAAATTGCTCTGCTCTAGTGGCTCTGTTCTGCCCCCGTTGGTCACAGCTGGGAGTGACATCACGGTTTGCAGCCCCGGGAAGGACAGAGTGCGCCAGCTCGGGTGCTGGGTGTGTCTTTGGGCTCTGGCGCCTGAAGCCTTCTCATGTCCAGTTCAGTTTTTTTAATGGCTTTATTCCATGGGGTTGATACTTAATTTCATCTGGGTTTCTAATTTAGGTCTCAGATGGATGATCAGGAAGTAGGGAAAAGAGGTGCATGACAACACGTGGGTGAGGACGTGGGGGTGCAGTTGTCAGACCGTGGGGCTGCTCCTTTCTCTCCCCCAGCAGGAGTCGGTTCATTACTGGAACCCTGGCTGGGCTTGGAGAGAGGACAGGAGTGGCCCGTGTCTCACAGGATTGTTTGCAGCTAGTGGGTGCTGTCTAGGAGGAAGTGAGGATGGAACTGTGTACGTTCTCTCGTTGCTGCCATCGCAGCTAGAGCTCAGCTGCCCTTTGCGTAGACGATTGTAGGCGCTGGCCGTCTCTGTACTGGAATAAGGCTGGGCTCAGAGGCGTCTGGTGTTTTCCAGGTGGGACGCTGAGAATCTACGCAGACAGTTTAAAGCCAAACATCCCCTATAAGACAATCCTGCTGTCTACTACTGACCCTGCCGACTTCGCTGTGGCCGAGGCCTTGGAGAAGTACGGTCTGGAAAAAGAGAGCCCGAAGGACTACTGCATTGCCCGGGTGAGTCCTGACCTTGCAGCACTGGCCGGCGCGGCCTGGGCGAGAGCACGCCATCCCCACCCCCCACCCGCCCTCGGGGGCCGGCGACCCTTAAAGGAGGTTGCGCCTGTGCTGGTTTTGCTTCCATGGCACTATTTAGCATCTGGGAACCTGGAATCACATGTTAAATGCATAGGAAAACATTCTCTCTTCTCTACAAAAGTAACGTATACTCCTGTTACAAAGTAAGGAAAGCGTAAAAAGGCAAGTTGGAAATAAAAATTGCCCATTGTTCTAGTATGGAGGATAGCAACTCTTAACACTTTGATTTAGATCCTACCTATTGTTATTTTGCAGATATAGGTCACTTTATTTTAGTAAAGTCTGGTTTAATGATGTTTCATACAGCTTTTACTAAGTCAATCATGAAGATTCAACTTTTAAGTAAATTTCAGTTCTCTATTCATAGTTAGCCAGCACTTCGTTGATATGGTGAGAGCCACCCATAATACCTTGGAGATAAGTTTTATCTTTGACCCTAGCATATGCAAATCTATTAAATTATAATCAGTTTCAGAAAGTTGCATTTGAGATATATGATAATGAACTTCATAACATGTTTTCTCTCAATAATTTCTGCCTAATTTATACAGATGAAATCAGAAAGTTAGAGTCATGAATTTATAGAAGCCTATTTTGAGCTTTATTCACAGTCTTGTTCAAGTCATTTGATTATTTCTTTTGAGGCTTTCCTTATTTTGATGTCTCTTTCATTATATTCTTGCACATTTTCTTTTGCAAGCTTAGGCAGTACAAATCAAGAGTTGGTTGTTATTTTAACTTTGGACTAGAAATTCTTTGTTTCTTTGGCTTGTCATCTCATAACTTCTGTAGTATGTAGCTCTTTCATACTCATTCATTCAGGTATTACTTTACCTATTTTATTATTAAGTAAGTATTCTAAGTTTTTCTTCTTTGGTAGATACTGTGCTGGGATAGAACATACGAGCTTGCCTTCAAAAGAGCTTACACTGAAGGGTGACAGAGGGGCCAAGGCCGAGGAACACAAATGGAGGCTTTCCCAGGGGAACACGGCTGAGGCTTCGCGGCCGGGTGGGCGGCGGACGTGTGAACCGCGCGGCCTAGCTGCAGGGCCGCGAGCTGTCCCGCGGGGCTGGGCCGCGAGGGCGCGTGCCAAGGCCCGAGGCGAGCGAAGGCCAGGCCTTGAAGTAACGAGCTCTAAGCCAGAGACACCAGATTTAATACAAAAGGCGAAGAAAGGTCGATGGCTCTGGCAGAAGGGTGTGTGGTGATGCACTTGACCTTTGAGGACAACCCGTGGAGAGCAGTGGCAGGGCTCCGTGGGGAGGTCGGGCCGTTCGGTATGTGAGCGTGAGGGCACGTTGCGGGGCGAGTTCTGTTGAGACAGCACCGTCACGTTAGCTGTGGGTTTAAAAGGAAGCTCAGGTGGCCGGGACTCGGCTTCATTCCCGATTTCTGCAGCCGGGTTTTGGTTTACATCACTGCCAAGTTAGAAAGAGCAGCAGCGCGGTGGGCGCCGCCCCGCCCTCTGCCCACGTCGCCGGGGCTCTCTTGGGCAATGGAGGAAACGGTTTGGCTGCCGGAACCGAGATGCAGCGTTAGGGCCGTTTAAGAGTGTGGTTAGCGCAGCATCTCAGGCGAGGCTTCAGGTGCTCGGTGCAGGAGCAGGCCTGTAGCAGTCCACGTGCTCTGGCTAGGGTGGGTGCGGAAAGGCAGCTGCCCTCAGGAAGGTGGCTCTTCCGTGGCCTTGTCCTGCGGTGGCCGTCCTGTGAGGGCCACGTGCGAAGCGGCGGCCTTGTGAGAGCGGTTGTTGAGCTTTTCTTAGGACTCACTCACACGTTAACCATCACCTACAGTCCTTCCATAGGAAGTTTGTTTTTGCATTTTAAATACTCAGACTGGTTGTTTGGGGGCCCGAGAGGCAGGTAGGCAACAAAGGCCCTGTCAGGCAGGCAGAACTTTTTATTGGAGACGATTTTCTTTCACTTTTGTGGATGGTTTAGTGTGAGAATTGCTCAGTGTTTGATGAATTTGATTTTGCAGTGCCTATTTTATTTACCCTAAAACAATGAGCTCTTAAAACATCTGCTACTTTACTGTCTCTGTAGAGTCACAGGTGATTGCTTTTTTGCTGTAGGTTATGCTTCCTCCTGGAGCCCAACATTCCGATGAAAAAGGTGCTAAAGAAATTATCCTTGACGATGACGAGTGTCCCTTACAAATCTTCAGGGAGTGGCCCAGCGACAGAGGTAAAGAGGAGTTGTCTTAGCTGGCACTTCCTCCTGTGGTGTGGGCCTGGGGGACCGCGTAGGCGGGCGGTGGTTTCTGATGCTGCTGGCCAGGCAGGTCCCTCCATGTTGCCAGCTTGGCTCGCAGGCTCCCGGGCGGCCCCTGGGTCCGAGGACCACGCCCAGCAGCGGTTGCTCACGTGTGGGCCTTGAACAGACCGCCATGCTTGGTGGACGTGTAGTGTCCCAGCTGGAGGAGGGGCTGGGGCGACACTGGGGCCTTGCGCTGCCGGCCGGGGGCTGGTGGGTTGGGACAGGCTTGTCCCAGTAAAGAAAACACCCTGCCCCCTTCAAGCTGTTCAGTAATTCAGCTGTTTCAGAAAACAAGGCCAGACTTCTCACTACTCACACGCTGTCCTCTGAGTACTGCGGGGCAGGGCCACAGGAGAGCTGTGCTCTGATGGGGCGGCTTTCCTGTCCTCGGACCCCCGGTCAGTGTGGGACGGCGCTCGCCGCGTCGCCCTGCCTGCGCTCCGTGCAGACCGGTCGCTTCAGACCTGCCGGCCTCACGCGCGCTCTAGGCAGTGTGACGTCACACTTCCTCGGCGTTAAAGTCCTTTGACTTCTGGGTTAATTCAGGCCAATAAAATGCAGATCACGTGTTACGTGTGTATGAATTAATGACTGTTCATTGGGGAGCTGTTAATGTAAAACGGAAACCTTTGCACGTTGCCTGCCAGCGTTTTCCGCGGCACGTCCGGGGACTGGGGTTTCCTCTGTCGAGTGGAAGTGTGGCTGGGTGAGCGGCGCCCGTGCCTTGGGAGGCGCTGTTGTGCTGCGTTTCCTTGGTGACCCTTTGAGTCGCTGCCTGGTGGCCAGCCGGCCAGCGGCGCTGACTTGAGTCTCGGCCGTGACGGGCCGTGTTGCTGTCGCAGGGATTTTGGTCTTTCAGCTGAAGCGGAGGCCGCCAGACTACATCCCAAAGAAGGCGAGGAAGCACCTGGACGGCAAGCCGGCGCGGGCGAAGGAGCGCGCGGACGGGGCGGGCTACGGCTCCGCACTGCCGCCCGAGAAGCTGCCCTACCTGGTGGAGCTGAGCCCAGGTGAGGGGGCCGAGTGCGCGCTGCGGGCCGCCTTGGGAGACGTTCGCTTTTTAGTAGAGTGACCTGCATGTGATGACACTTATTTTTTTAGAAAAACAAAACCTTAAGGTCATACGGTGTGTTTCATGCTTAAAAATAAAGTTCACATGGGCAGAAATTAAAGTTGCAAAACAAAAGTTAGAAACGTGAACATAGAGAATGAAGGAGAGGTGTAATTGACCTACTTCCTTTCTGAACATTTTTTCAGAGTAACCTTGTAAAATACTTAATCTGCTAAAAATGTGAAAGTGAGACGTACTGCTCTCGGCAGATTTTTAGAGGCAAGTGTGTGTATGTTTATTACACTGTTTATGGACAGTTTCTGAAAAAACTCTTTAAATGTAGCAGTACGTTGAGGAAATCTGTCTGTAAAAGGAAGGATGTTTATTTGGTTTTGAAATGATAGTAGACTGAGTTTATTTTTAGGTTAGTCCTCTAAATATTTTGTTTATAGAAAACTTTTATGCCAAAGCTGTTGAGTCATCAGGTTGAGAAATACATCGACATTCCTAAAGAAACGTTCCGTGTACACACACCCCTGTGTAGTCTATGTATATTTGCATCAGTGTGATATGTATATTTATTACTCAGATGCACCCCACTGTTCCTCATGTGGTTGAAATACTAATATATGTCCTGTACTGTAACATGCTGTGAAAAACAGACTCTTGCTCCTTCCCTGAGAACTGTTTTTCAATAAAGCTCTCCTGGTAATTTTAGAAAGAGCTGAAAAACAAACCGGTTGTGTAGGTGTGCTCTGTGCTGTGGTTCCCTGGGCAGGACTCTGTTATTCTCCCCTCCGAGGCTTGAGTGTGCACGTTTACGGACAAGCCTGTGACCAGTGACCGGAGCTGGTGCAGGCCCGGGACACAGGCGGGTGCTGCGGACGCAGGAAGAGGCGCTGTGGGCCGACGCGGGGACCGGCTCGGCGGCCTGTGCTGCGGGCGGCGGTTTTGATGCTGGTTGTGCTGGAGGGTGTCTGACTGATCGCTGTTCGGGAAGAATATGGTAGTTTGCTTTGTCCCTCAGTTCTCTGGCTGAAAAGTCAATTTAAACTTTTGGCTCCTCGCTGTGGTGTGGAAACTTGTCTAGAATTCTTCCGTGTCTCTAGTATGTGTGGCTGCACTGTCTGGGGCAGTGATTAGCAACTGGGAGACAGCTGTTTGTTTTTGAACTTAAAATTTTTTAGGACCTGTGGGCACTGGGTTTGTTCTCAAAAATTTTGCATTACCTGCTAGAAATTAATGATTCTGTTTTTTCTAAACCGAAATTTTTGAGGATTTAGGAGTATTCTTAGTTCAGAGAGCATTGATAAGTGGCTGACATAGAATTATTTCCAAGTGGATAATGGAAGGTTGATTCGGGTGGTAGCAGAGGCAGGAGGAGCCTCATTCATTCACTTAGGTGACAAATGGTCTTGGGGTGCTGGCTGTGTGTCCGGGCTGTTCTGGGCCCAGGAGACAGAGGGAGCTCTGACACGCGGACTCGCCCTCGGACCCCAGGAACTCACGCTCTAGTGAGCAGCGCTGCTCTGGCTGCTTAGCTCATGCCCGTGGGCTCCCAGGAGGTTACGTACATAAAGGCTTTGGCAGTTGTGGAGAGAGAACAGCGGCTGGATAAATACTGGGTCTGGGCGACTTTCCGCCAGACACCGGCAGCAGCCTGTGTCCACGCCTGTCCGTGCACGTCCTTGGACCGGCCTTCCGCACCTGGGGTCCTGGTTTCTCGAGCGCCTGCTGTAGGTGGAGTCGCGGGCCCCGTGGAGCCAGGGCGCTCCTGCCTCAGGTGGTGCCCCCCGCCGCCCCCCGTGCCAAGGCCGCTCTTGGTGACAGCCGCTGAGCCCCAGGGGCTCTGGGACGGACGGCTCTGCGTCTCCCACCGACGCCTGCCACGCAGCTCTGCCGGTGCTCTGCTGGGGTGGCGCGGCTGTGGCGGCGGCGCCCAGTGCGGGGCGGAGGGCGGCCTCACCCCAGGCCGTGTTCTCTTTACAAGTCGGTGCTGTCCTCTGAGTTTCGCTGTTGCCGTCAGCATCCTGCGTGAAAATGATTCATTTTCCAATTCCAAGCAAATAGCATTTGTAATGCTGACTTATTAGGAATAGACAAGTGCCATGTTTGCCCTGGTCACATCCTCAGGCAGATGCCTGTCCTCAGTGGGGACCGAGGTCCTGGAGTGGTGGGCGGAGGTCTTTGCGATACTTCCACTGTCGTCTGGAGAAACGGGGCCAACAGGCCACTTCACGCTGTGCTTTGCGTTTGACTATGTTCTCTCAACAGAAGGAGCCGAGGGGGTGCTCGTCTTCTGGAAGGCTCACTCACTTGCTCTCCCGCCCCTGGTGACTCACCCGTAGTCCTGGTGTTTCCCTTAACAGTCTGCGTTGTGTCTAAAACACGCTGTCGGAGCAAGCACCGCGGCCCTGCCCCCGCGCCCTGAAAGCCGGGGCGAACACGCGCGTGTGCGGGGCGCGTGGTCTCACTGCAGCTCACCTCTCTGTCTCTCTCCTCCCTCTCCACGTGCTCCGCACGCCTCTGCCCTGCCGACGTCGCCTTCACCGGGGTCCCCTGCATGTGTGTGGACCCCAGGGAGCAGGGGCCTCTCTGCCTGCCACAGCTGCCCCGCTCACGAAGGTAACGCTCTGCCTCTTCCTTGCTGCTCTCTCGCTCGGGTGCGTGGGCTGCGCGGGCGCCCGTGCGCTCGTTTCTGCATGGGGCGCAATGACTGATTTTCAGAAATGCGATGTGCCGGCCGTTCGGTCGTATCGCCTAAGTAAGTGCTCTGTCTCTGGAATTCGTTTCGTTTAATGTTCAGAAGCATGTTTCGCAAAAATGTCCGATTCCTTTGTTTGGGCTGTCTTAAGCGAGAACTTGGACTGAGGAAGGGAGAGAGCCATTTGCCTCTTTTCCTCCCCCCAGCCCCCCCCCCTGAATAAGGGGGAGGGGGAGGCAGGGCTCGGGAAGCGAAGGAGGAGGGCGCTGAGGGTGAACCAGAGAAAGAGACCAAGGCTGGGGGGCAGGAGGGCGGACGCGGGCGCTCCCTCGGTCAGGGGCCGCGTGTGGGGCCCCGCGCCTGGGCCCGCTCCTGGTGTGACCTTCTCGTGGGGAAGGAGCTTACGTGGCGACTGGGTCCCGACTGCTCTCAGGACTCTCCCTGCTCCCCAGGATGGGGTCCGTTTCTTCTTCACGAAGCTGTGCTTTCTCACTTGGAATGTGCTCCTCGGGTTTTGTGTCTCAGCCTTTGTCATCTTAAATGGTACAGCTCTTGTTGGTTTTACGGGAATACTTCTCTTTTGGTTTTACACATTGCATGTACTAATCAGATACGTTACTATGCTGTATGAAGTTTATTTACCTTTTAACATCTTTTGTTGAATTTTCTCTGAACTGATCACATTTTCATGGATATTAACAAAACTTGCAGTTTGTTTTTTTAAACACGACTTTTTTTACTTATTTTAATACTTGTATATACATAAAGAAGAGTCTAAGACATGTTTTTGTTATGTCTGAAGGGGATTCTTTGATGTTCTCACGTGTTTGTTAATGTCATACTCTGAAACAGTAGAACAACGGAGAAAAAAACGCCTTTCCTTTTCTACCTGTTGTGCATACGGAATCAGAGTGTTCTTCCTTTTTATGCCAGTCCTGTTGGAGGAGAGTTAGTTCTTTTCCTGTGGAGTTAGTAAAAAACGTGTCAGGCCTGTTCCACCGCGCTTCAGTGTTTCTCACGGGTCTCTTCTCTGTTGCAACGGCTGGACTACACGCGAGCTCCGAGGGGGTGTGGCTCTAGTCCTCACCAGCGGCTCCTCTCAGGCGTCCACGACCGTGCCTGGGACCTGGGGCTCTCCAGTCGGCTTCTGGAAACGAGCCCCCCCAACACGACCTCCGAAGGGAGGCCGCCAGCACCGCGGACCGCGGCCCGGAGCCCCGAGTGTGTGGAGCTGCGGAGCGAGGACTGGTAGCTGTGGCAACGTGCGCCCGGGCCGTCGGGTGGGCTCCTTCCCTGCATATCAGACCCCGCCGGAGACCTCGTTACAGCAGGAGGCAGATCAGTGGGCGTGACACTTGGGGGCCGGGGTTGGCACGCGCACGTCAGGGCACCCGGGTGAATGCGAGTTTCAGATAAAACGGCATTTTTTAGCGTGTGTCCCAAATGCTGCTCGTGTGCCTGGATGTCATGGGACACCCAGTGTTAGGGACGAGGAGAAAGGTGAAGATCTTTGTGTGAGGGACCGTCTTGCCGTGTCTGTGACCGCCTGCGAGGCACCCGCTGTGACCTGTTAACGAGGCCCCGGGGACGGGCTGGCAGTGGCGAGCGGGAGGCGCCTCTGCCCAGAGAGTCGCCCGCCTTCCCCGAGCTCAGACCAGATGCCGCTCTCTCTCCCGGTCCCGTGGGTCCATCCAGGTCACTCAGAAGCCTGCCTGTGAGGGCGGCAGTGGCGTCTCCTGTGGCCGCACAGTGGTCAGAGAGGGCGGGCGGGGCAGTCTGTTCCTGCCCCGCCTGTCGGGAGCGAGAGGGGGAGAGAGGAGAAGCTGGGAGGGACCTTGGTGTTTCTCCCTTTCTCCTCGTAGATCCAGATCCATTGATGTGCATGAGGATGCAGAAAGGTGTATCAGACCTGTCTTTTCACTCACAAGATGCCTTTCAGAAAGCACCCAAAATGCAGAAGAATATTTTGTGAATTTTTCTGTCGCCCCCTAAACAGACAATTTTCATGTTCTTGTATGTTTTAACTGTGTATTGAAATGATCATTTTTCATCATTTATTTCTGCTTTTGTTTTCTTTATAGTTTGCATAATTTCTGTGTGACCATGTTGCATTATTCTTATTTGCTTGTAGTTAGTAATCACTGACTGCTGGCACATAACGTCTTCGTCAGATGCGCACTGCGGACCAGGCAGTGCGCTGAGCGCCAGGACAACCCGGCTCCCGGGAGCTCCGCGTGGGGGCGGCGCGTCTGGGGAAAGCGCGGAGAGATGGGGCTAGTGGCATGGGGTGCAGGGTGAGAGGGTCCCCGGCCCCCGCAGCCAGGGTGCTGTGAGCCTGCCCGGTGTTGCCATCGAGCGCACCGCACACCTGCCGGAGCGGGCAGAGCAAGTCCGCGAGGATGGTCCCGTCCAGGGAGAGCCCATGCGCCTCGGGTGCCTCGTTTTGGGTCAGGACGGGGGGTCGGAGCTGTAAATGAAGTGCTTTGAAGACTCTGGCTGCCCCCAAACCTGATGCAGCTCTGCCCGCTGTGAGGCCGCGTGGTGGACGCTGTGTCGCACCTGCCGCTGCAGCCTCTTGGAGCTCGGATCTGGCATGGCTGGGGCCTGGACGCACTCCCGGTGCATGGCTCCCAAGCCTCGGAGCGTTTGGCCCGGAGCCCAGTGCCCGCAAGTTGTGCCTGGAGGCTTGACGGTGGTTCTGGAGTTACTCACGGTAGTGCGGTGGGTCCTGGAGCCTCGGCATGGCCTTGGGGAGGAGACTCTGCATCACAAGTACATGCAAACTAGGCTGGCTCCCACGGCCGAGATGTGTCGGGACTCGAATTTGGGGGCACGTCTCCTGTGCTAACCGCTCTGAAATCAGAAGGTCCTTGGCGGACACCGTCCGCTCGTGGGTGGCCCGCAGCGGGTGCGGAGCGAGCGGCGCGCCTGGCGGTGTTCTCCCTGAGCTGCTGCCCCCGCCGTCGTCGCAGGTCGGGCGCCGGGAGATGCAGAATGCCAGCCCCTCCCGGAGCTGCAGAGCAACCCCGAAACGACAGACCCGGCCTCCCCTCCGCCCTCCCCCCAGCGCTCCCCTGTGGCGCCAGCGCGCACGCTGTCGCTCCTGCCGGGGCCCGATGGCAGTTGGGGACGTCCGAACCATGTGGGGGCGTTAGTCTCAAGATGCAGGTTCAGGCCTCATCCCCGGGGATTCCGCTCCGGGAGGCCTGGGGCGAGCCCTCTGCCCTTAAAAGCCCCTCAGTGACTCGGCTGTGTCCCCCAGCCGAGGGGCGCCGTGGCGTGGGGGTGGCCGGTTCACCGCAGGAAGGCTCTGGTCTGAAGGGAAGGTCGGAGTGTCTTTGGTGATCGTCGCTTGCTCATAGAGTCAGTCCTCAGGGTTATTAACAAAAATATCTTTTTATATGACGAGATGGTGTTGGTATGAATGACAGTATTTAACACCTTAAATTACATTAAGCAGAAGCCGCTGTGTTTGCATGTCTTACCCAGCTGGTTGCGTTGCACGCTGTACATTTGGAGGGAGCTACGGTGCCACGCCTCAGGTGACCTCTCGTTCGCTCTTGCAGATGGTTCTGACTCCAGAGACAAGCCAAAGCTGTACCGCCTCCAGCCCAGCGTCACCGAGGTCGGCACGGAAAGGTTCGACGACAGCTCCATCCAGGTGCACGGCGCCGCCGCCCCACTGAGCTCCCTTTGTGGTTCCCACGTTTCAGTGGGTGATAGCATGTGGTCGTGACTGGATGAGTGGATAAAAGTGAAAACTTTGTGTTTACATGCAAACAGCGCGTTCACTGTGGGTCACTTTCTTTGCATGTGAAAAGAGCGGAGCGTGAGTTTTCTGTCCATGTCCCACCTCTGGACATGTGGCGCGGTCGTGACACTCCTGAGACGCGTGTCCCCAAGAGGCGCCGACCCCCCCATAGGTCTACCTCAGGGCCGAGGGCCACGGCCTCCCGTAGCGCCTGCCCCAGGCCCAGCGCGCGGAGCAGGAGGCAGGCAGTGAACCGCAGCCTCCGGCAGGCCGGGCTCACCCACGCGCCAGGCGAGCTCGAGGGGCCCGTCCTTGGCTAGCAAAGGGCGGGCCAGGCTCCCAAGGTCGCGTTTGGTCCTGACGCCTTCCCTCCTGCTGCAGCCGTGGCACGGAACCAGGGACTTGTGGTCATGGTGTCTGTCCAGGCTTCCCATGAAATTATCTAATGTTGAAAACGACCATATGCTTTTTAACGCAGAGTTAGAATATGCCTTAAATCAAGGCCCTGGATGCTAAAAAGAAAATGTTCAGTTACTTTGACAGAGTTTAATTATGTTTGCACTATTGGAAAATCCACTTAAAACACCAAAAATCCGGAGTTCATGAGATTACACGGACCGCGAAAGGGGGCTCACCATCTCAAAACTCGGCTTTTAAACGCTGCGTCCTTCACGGCGGCAGCTCCTCTGACCTCCCTCTGTTTCCAGCTGTTTGGCTCGGGAATCCAGCCCCACCACTGCGACCTCACGAACATGGACGGGGTGGTCACCGTCACCCCGAGGAGCATGGACGCCGAGACCTACGTGGAGGGGCAGCGCATCTCGGAGACGACGATGCTGCAGAGCGGGATGAGCGTGCAGTTCGGGGCGTCGCACGTGTTCAAGTTCGTGGACCCCAGCCAGGACCACGCGCCGCTGCGGCGGCCTGTGGACGGGGGCCTGCCCGCCAAGGGCCCCCGGCACAAGCCTGGGTAAGGGGCCGCGGGGGGCGTTTCCTCGGGGGGCTGCCGCGTTCTGGCTGAGGCGTGGGTCGCACATGGTTTAATTTTTTATTTTAATTTGTAAAAATTTAAAGTGGGTGTGTGGTTCTGGTTCTTGTTGATTTAGTTGGTTTTAGAGGGAAGCAGCCGCAAGAAAGGTCTTCACCTTCAATGTTGGGAGTTGTGGCTGGTTTGTAAATACTTTGTTTATTACTTGATTCTTTAAAGCAGTACTTGATCTTTTGTGAAGAGTTATTCTCTATAGTGATCCTGTGTCACTAGACTCTTCTGTTGAGCTTTTCACTTTTTTGTTAGCAATAAGGGAGCGCAGTAAGATCTCTCAGGGAACTCCTGATACAGTTTATAGTTTGGCTCCACCTAGTGCCTCTTTGAGTACTTGCCGTGTGGGCCCGTGACTGAGAAACCAAGGTCCTTAGTGACAGTCTAGTAGGACGTTTTTGAGGGGAGGGAGGAAGACACTGTGGGGTGATGTATTGCTGCGTGAGCGTCCATTTCGGAGGCAGGGAGGGCATGGGCCTCACGCTGTTCAAAGTGAGCGGACCGTCTGCTGAGCTGTGGACGCTGTGGTCGAGAAGCGCGGCTGTGGACGGCGGCCGCCGGGCGCCTCGTGCCGCCTCCGTGCTCCGTCCCACGGCCTGCCTGTGCGTCAGCGCCTGCAGCTCTGCCTCGCGCCAGCCGCGGGGTCCAGTCTCTTCGCGTCTGTCTTTGGACTGACTTTGGTTGTTCCTGGTGGTGATCAGCGAACCCTGTGCCCCTTTGCCACTCTTGGTCCCCTTTGAACCCGGGCAAAGGAAAGTGTAGAAGGCGGCTGTGCAGTGAGACATAAGGCCCTTCTCCAGGATGAGCACGGGGGCTGATGCACACGCGCGGGCAGGCGACTCGGACGCTGGGGGTGGCGGGGGCTGTGGGGGCGCCGTCTCCCACCTGTCACCCGGAGCTCCGAGATTCAGCAGCTGCCTCGGCCCCCCATTCCCCCGCGCCTTTACCGTCTGCCTCTCGAGAACTCTGACCCTCCCAGCTCCAGAGGGGGTGCGTGTCTGAGCCCGGCCCTCCTGGCCGCGCCGCGCGGGGGACGCCGGGCCTGTCCCGGCCTTTCCTCGCTCAGCTGGCCTCGGCCCTGTCCCCCATCCTGTCCCCGCCATGGCCTTTGCACGCGCCTCCGTCAGCCCGCACCCTCGGGCGTCCTCCATTTTTATGTCCAGCACCAGGGTTTCTCCTGCTCGCCTCCTGCCTTCAGCACCGGACGCCGACGGGAGGGACGGGCGCCGGCCTGGGACCCCTGCTCCCCATCGGTTTCCAGGGCGTCGCCCCAGGGGAGGCGCCCCGGGAAACGGTTTCTTCTGTGTGCCGCCCGTGGCCTTTGAGCAGGACCTGCCGCTGTCGCCTCGCGCTGCAGTTGGGCTTTATTTCGGAGTTCCTTTGTTTATTCAGTAGCATCCGTGGCTGCTGCTGTGAGCAAGCGCGACCTACACACGGCCTGCCTCTGTCGCGGCCGGTCCCTCGGATGTGCCGGCAAACCTGTGCCGGCTCTTTCTCAAGAGGCATCGCCTTCGAACGCGTGCACGTGAAGGGCATTTCGGTTACTTTCTGTGTTCCTGAGAATTTTAGGAGGCCCCGCCCTGGCAGGCGTTCGCCTTAAATTTGTTTTAGCAACGCCATCCAGAGATACAACACCAGCTCCCGTTTGTGACGAACACGCACAGACACACAGAGTCCAGGCGAATCCCCTTTTTATTTTGGAGGCATTTACAATTTATGTCTGTCCTTGACCAGTCAAATTCCAAATGACCTTTTCCTCCTTAAGTAGAGACAGCTGTTTGTAATACCTCAGAGAATCGGGGGATGTCTAAGGGACGCCCCAGCTTAACCTATTTCTCCAAACCCTCTTTGAGCCCTCACAGACTAGGTCGGTGTTCCCATCCGTCCTGCCCGATTTCCGCACAGGCAGCCCTCACGTGTGTGCACAGATCAGCGTGGAGACGGCCCAGGGCCCCGGCCCTGGCTGCCTCCCTGTGGCTGGGAGGCTGGCTGTCGTGGGGCTCGCTGGCCTGAGTAGCGCGATTTCCCAGGTTCCTCGTGCGGCGACCGTTCGGGGCCGGACAGGTTCGCGGGGTTTGTGCAGGGAGAACGTCCACGGAGCCACTGGGATGCCTGGCAGGCCTTTATTCAGGGGTGGGCCACCCCCGTGTGCTGCGAGCTGCGTGTCACACGGCACGCCACCTGCCCCCCCCGCATGGCCCCCGGCCGACGGACACCTCCCAAGCGGCCGTGCTTCCCCGGACACGGGCCCCTCTCAGGGTGGCCCCGTTCCAGGGCGCCCCGTCGGCGTTTCAGGGATCGGCTGCCTCAGGGAGCCCCCCTCCGCCCTCCGGGGCCGGGGGCCTGAGCAGCTGCCGTCACCCCTTCGGCTGTTGGCAGGGCAGGTGTCCTTTTTCCCTTTGGGAGCGGAGAGAGGCAGCCTCCGTCTCACCAGCGGAGACTTCGTTCAGACTCGGGGCAGGCAGTCTACGTGAAAAAGCTGGAATGAGAGGCAGCAGCGCGTTTCCTTTCCTTTCCCTGAGCTATCTCAGCCCCAGCTCACCTCAGGGACTCCCTGAGACCAGCCCCAGTGAAGTCCTGGCCTGCTGCTGGAAGCAAGGGCCGCGCCCGAGTCCCGGAGACCCTCGCCCGTTCCCCAGCGTGGGGCGGGCCAGTGGGCCTCTGGGGGCTGTTGCCGGGGCCAGGTCTGCAGAGCGGGGCCTGGGTGGGCTCCTTTGGACTCCGCTGACTCCGCTAAGGAAGTGGCGCCGCAAGGAGCATTCACACCTGCGGGGGGGTTTATGCGTGTATTTAAGCCAAACGGAGGCCATGTGGGCGGGGAGGGGGGCACGATCTCAGCTGCCCTCTCTCTCCCTCTCATTTGTTTAAGGAGCCAGTTTCGCACCAGCAGTGCCCAGGGTTCCCTTCGGTTCATTTCTCACCAGCACTTGCTGTCTGTTGTCTTCCCGACGGCAACGACCCTGGCAGATGTGCGGCGCACGCCCACTGTGGCTGAGGTGTGCGTCTCCCGTGGAGGAGCCCCCCGAGTCCCCTGGTGCGTCCCTGTCCCCACCAGGCCCCACGCGGGCCCGCTGCCTGTTTTTACTTGCATTGTTTGGATTTTTGCTGTTGTGTCGTGTGAATTCTTTAAACACGGGCTGGAGCGGAAGTAGTTTTACCATTGTTCATCCGGAAAGCAGTGCAGCAGGAAGTTGCGGCCCAAGAGTCACCTGCGTGCGGTGCACTCAGAGCTGCAGGCCCGCCCACGTCGGGCACTGGCCCTCGTCCGGGCCCGGTGGGCAGGCGCTTCCGCCCGTTCCCCGGGGGCCTTTTTGTTCTGTGGGCGGTTTCCTCTGTGGCACCTGAGCTTTTCAGTTTGGTGGGACCCTCCTTGTTTATTTTCGCTTTTGTGGTCTTGGTGTTAGGTGTCAGATCCAGAAAGCAACATCAAGGAGCTCGTCCCGCGGGCCCCTGGGCGCGTCCTGGTTGCAGATCTCGCGCCCAAGCCTCCCGTCCCGTGGGGTTCATTGCTGTGCCTGTGTACGTCAGCGGCCCAGTGCCCTTCTTTGCAGCTGGCTGTCCAGCTGTCCCAGCACCGCTTACTGAAGAGACTGTCCTCTCACATTGTGTATCCTTGGCTCCTTTGTCCTAAACTAACTGACCGTCTGTGAGTGGGCCCACGTCTGGGCGCCCTGTTCCCTTCCAGCGATCCGTGTGTCTGCTTTCACGCCAGCGCCGTGCGGTTTCAGTGGCTGTGGCCTTGCCGTGTAGTTTGATATCAAGGACGGTAATGCCTCCAGCTTCTCACCTTCCCAGGATTGTCGTTGTTATTTGGGGTCTTTTGTGGTTCCATACAAAGTTTAGATTTGTTTGTTCTATTTCTATGAAAAATGTCAACAGAAATTTAATCTGGATTAAATCTGAAAACTGCTTTAGGTAGTATGGACATTTTAACAGTATTAATTCTTCCAATTCATGAGCATGGAATATCTTTCCTTTTTTTGTGTGTTTCAATTTCTTTCTTAAACATCTTAAATTTTCACTGTACATATCTTTGACCTCCTTGGTTAAATTTATTTCTAGGTGTTTTATTCTTTTTGGGGCAGTTAAATGTACTCCTAGGCCTTTTATTCATTTCTGATTTTATTTGAGTCTTCTCTCCCTCTTTTTTTCCTGGTCAGTTTAGCTAAGAGTTTATTAATTTTGTTTATCTCTCCAAAGAACTAGCTCTTAGTTTCGTTGATCTTTTCTAATGTCTTTTCAGAGCCTCTTTATTTCTGCTCTGTTCTTTGTTACTTCCTTCCTCCTTGTGATGTTGGGCTTCCTTTGTTCCCCTCCAATTCCTGGAGGGTATGTGGCCCATGTGTCTCAGCTGCAGGGGTCAGGGCCTGTGTCTTCGAGGCCGAGCCGGGAGCCAGACGGACGCAGCGCGGGGGCCTCGGGGACTCCCTGAGGGAGGGCATCAGAGGGCGGGAGAGCAGGCAGCGACGGGGGTGGGGGGCATCAGCGGCCACGGCGGTTCGCTGGCGACTTCGTCCAGTCTGCGCCCGCTGAGCCGTGCCCTGCAGCTGGGCGCGCTGAGTGCCGAGGTGGCCAAGGCACCGTGGCTCTCCCACAAAGCCAGGCCTGGGTGATGTCGTCTGTGGAGCTGCTCTCTAATCCCGTCCAGGATGCAGAGCGAATGGACCCACGTTGGACGTGGAAGTTTTCGTTGTTTCCGGGGGAGACTGAGCTCTGTGCGGTGCTGAGTGAACCTGCGGTTCCAGGTGCTGCTGCAGATGGAACCAGGCGGGCTCGGTTGCGTTTCCCGCCCGCAGAGGAAGCCGGGGGTGGGGAAGGCGGGCCCTGCTTTGCCAGGCAGCCAAGAGGGCGGTCAGCTCTCCTGTGTCCTCTTTGTGCCATCCGATCCCGACCCGCACAGACCAGCAGAGCTTTTCGGTTCTTGGTGTGTGTCTTGGTGACGGGATAAGTATTGAATTTCACAAAATTTTTGTAATATATTTCATGAAGTCATTTTCTGAAGTTACTCAACCTTTAGTAAAAATTCACTTTCTCAAAAGTTACTATGTGTTTTAAAGCATGACATTATTTTGCATTACAAGATGGTTTTATTTTTATAGTGATGAGGGAGAGAAAGAGTTTGTACCTGCTTTTTTAATTTGAAAAACAGTTTTGAACTTCTCCATTACTTGCTAGTTTTATTCTATAGCTGTGGTTTATTTAAGCTGTATCTGTAGACTGAGCTTCAATAAAAGGTTCCAGTTCACATAGTGCTTCAAAGGGAGACCGGGCCGCTTTCCGCATGTGGAATGGGGAGGCCTGGGTCTTTCTGGTCACCTGCAGGGCCCGGGGAGTGCCGGTGCCGGCGCCCGCGGCTGGCCTCCAGGGCCTGCCGCTCTGTGTCCCTCAGGCTGGCCCTCTGTTGGGGGCTGGGGCCAGGGGACGCACGCACCTTCGTCGGTGCCAGAGAAACTGTTTGCCCCGGTTACGGACTGCTTATGATATGGTCTTTATATTCTGAATTAATTTTTCTTAAGGATAGTTTTAAAGCTTTGGTATTTTGAGCTTGTCTAAAAAATTGTTTAAACAAGAATAGTTCTTGATCTGATCACTAATGTTATCAAAAATTGTTTCTCTCTTTATTTGTAGCCTGAGTAGCAGGATCCATAGGAATCATCAGCCTGACGTGCCGGCCGGTGGGCCGCTCGGCCCGGGGCCTGCCTGGGAGCCCCGTGGCCTCCGATGGCCGTGGGCGGCCCCAGGCCCTGGGACGGCCACACTTCGCTGCCGTGCCGCTCACAGCCTGCAGAGGCCACGGGAGAAACCGCGTGCTTTTTTCTTTTATGGTCTTTTCCATTTATTGTTTTTAAATACAATTTTAAAAAATGTGATCCTGAGAGTATTGAATATGTATCAGCAAGAAAAGTTTGTAAAGTTACAGGTTTTTTTTAAATTCTATAACATCATTTGATGAAAAGAAAGAGATTTCCTGAAGATGTTTGAATTCCAGAGTATTTAGTTAACACTTCCTTTCGTATTGCTAGAGAGAGACTCTGCGGAATAATTCGAGAGTTACTCATTCTGTGTGTGTTTTGTTTTGTTTTTTTATTCTGACAGAATTGTTCAGGAGACGACTTTTGATTTAGGAGGAGATATTCATAGTGGAACAGCATTACCAACAAGCAAGGTAGGCCATTGCATGTTCCCCGGTAGGATGTGTTTGACGTGACAGAGCATGTGAACGAATGATGGGGAGCTTCCTCATACACCTGTGGCACAGACATGCCCCACTGTGGCCTGCACTGAGGGGCGGGCCGCCTGGGGACACGGAGCTCTGCTGGCAGCCTGTCTTTCACTTACGGACGGGGCTGTGCTTTCTCCTCCCTACGCTGTGGGACCAGCCTGCTCGGTCGGATGATCCCGGCAACGTGGGCCCGCTCCCCTGGGCCCTCCGCTCAGCCCCAGCTGCCGCCTGCCAGCAGGCATCTGCGGGCGCGGTGCTCCCATGGCCTTCCCTTGTCCCCGGTGTGATGGGTGACCTCTCTCCTCCTCTTGGCTCTCTCTTGCTGGGGTGCAGACCCCCCGAGTCAGCAGGCTGGGCAGCAGGCACCCGGAGCGCATGCAGCTGCGCGGGCGGCTTGGCCTCCCCAGGCCGTGGGTTTGCTGCCCTTGCCTCCCGCTGCCTGTGTGGCTGCGTTCAGCTAGTGCAGCAACCTTCAGCCTTTTCCTCTCACAGCACGGGAACTAACTGCAGAAATTCTGCGGCACACCACAAAATGTGTCTTTTTGCTGATCTGACAAAAAAATAGGTATACTTTTGTTTGATGTACAAAAAATAATAATAATAGTAATTGCCCACACTTTTTGCCCTAGAATGACTTTAAAAAAAATCAGGTGCCTGTGCTTGTATGTAGGATTTCTGGTGTCAAGAATTAACCCATCAGACACCACCGTATTATGTGACATGACCGAGGAGACGCGCTCCATCCCGCGCTCTGCATGTTTGCGCTTTGAGGCGGGCGTCACACTAGGCGGCCACCGCTGGGCCAGCCTTGGCCGTTGTTTTATGGGACAGTCTGAGGGAAAAGAGGTCGGTGCCCAGACTCCGCAGTCAGCGCTCCATGCTCTCCCGGTTCCTGGCGCGGGCGAGCGTCGCTGAGCCAGCGGGTCCACGGGGACGGCGTTCCCCCCCGCGCCCTGTCGCCGCAGGATCCTCCCTCGGTCGGCCCTCCCACCCCATCCTCTCTCTGTGGGGCAGCCCGAGGGGCTGGTTCCCAGGCGCCACAGTGTGCAGGCCCCCGAGGCTCGGACAGGCGCTGGGACGGTGGGTGGGGCCCCTGAGCCCCGGGCGCGAAGCAGTCGTGGAGGCGGGGATGCAGGCCCCCACCCAGAGCGTTCCCGCTGACCCCTCTGGTGCCGCCCCGGCCCTGCTTTCTGCTGCTCGCAGCCGGTTTCCTGAAGGAGCAACTCCTGGTTGCTGTGTCCCCTTCCTCCGGCCCTGCCTCCTTTCCTCGGCACCCATCTGGCTCCTGCTCCTTCGAGGGGGCTGCGTCTGTCTCGGGCACTGGTGTCCTCTAGACCACCTGGCCCAAGGCTCGTTCTCCATCTGTCGGCCTTCGCCGGGTCCCCACCCTTACTTGGCGCGTGTTCTTTTCCGCTTCCCAGCTGGGTGCATGTTCGTCCTCATTCCGGTTCGTGGGCTCTCGCCCTCACACACAGGCTGGAGTCGCAGCGCCCTCTGTGTTGGTTGCTCCCTTCTCTGTCTTTGGCCCCGAGCTTCCTGTGCTCCAGGCTGGCCTGCACGCCGGCGGCCCGGCCGGCCCACACCGGCAGTCTGACAGAGCCGGCACAAAGGGCAGGTTCTCTGTCCCCCGTCCCCCTTTCCCTGATCCTTCCCCAGCTCAGGGAGGGTCCCCCTCCGCAGCAGTGGTCCGGGGACCTGTCCTGCTTCTCCTCGGGCCTTCCCTTCGCTCAGCCTCCACTTCAGCCACTGGCAGATTCTGTTGCTCCTCTGCCTGTGAGGGAGCCCACAGGGGTCCCCTGGGCATGCACGGGCAGGAGCGCCGCATGGCTCTGGAGGCAGCAGCCCCTCTCCTGCGAGCTGGTCCTCCTCCCTGTCTCTCCTCCTCCTCCCTCTCCCCCCCGCCCCCCCACTGTTTTCACGTGCTCTCCCTGCTCCTCCGCCACAACTTAAGGCGCCTCCCGGCCACCGCCTCCAGCAGCCAGGCAGCGCGTTCTAACCGCCCCACGCAGCCTGTGCTCCCCTGACTCCCGTTGTGCCTGCTGCCGGCCAGAGCCCGGGCCGGGGGAGGGGCGGGGGGGTCCTGCGTGGCCTGTGCGCCTGACAGAGGCGCGGGAAGAGCTGTCCAGCAGTGAGCGAATCTGTGCTTTTGGAGCTAAATATCACTCTTTATAAAAATTTTAGTTTTTGTAAAATTGGTAGTCAACATAGAAAATGTGCAAAGTTTAAAAGTAAAAACGTGAAAGTTGTTCATTCGCTTTGGTAGCGTCTCAGTGGGCCCTTTCTGACCTCTCTGCACATGTGGGCGTCCCAGTGCGACCGCGCCTCTGCGTGCACATGCTCCTCTCTGTCCTGCCTCCCCTGGCTGTTCCTTTGTGAGCGTTTCCTTTGAAAATCATCTGAAAACAAGCTAAAACTGAATTGCAACATGTTAGCACGTGAACATGCCATAACTTATCTATTGTCCCATTACTCACTTAAAATCATTTTTTGTAGTCTTAAGTATTGTGTGCACTGGCCAAGCAGTTTTGTTTCTCTAAATGGATCTTGGGGGACATAGTCCTTGTGCACGAACCTTTGTGTCCACAAGCCCAGTCGCCATGACACCCTGTCCTGGTGAGCGTCCGGCCGCCGTGAAGGGTCAGCTTGGTGGGTTTCCGTGGACGGATGTTACACATCCGTACTGTTTGGTAGCGCACAAATGATGTGTGTAGGATGTTTAAAACATAAGAAAAGAGTATTTTGTTTTACAAGGTAGGTTGTACAGTCTCAGTTGTGGAAAATGAAAAATTGCAAAGATACATACAGCGCAATGTTAATCCCTAGTTGGTAAGACAAGAATGATTTTTTTTACTTACCGTCTTTGCCCAGTCTCCTCGGGAAACAGATGTAAGGAGAACTCTTACATAAAATTTTGCTACAGTGGGTTTCTCTCTGTAAGTGTAATGCTTCTGTGCTGATGGTGTGTTACCCAGGTGATGCATCCTCCCTGGCGCTGCGGGCCGGTTGGGAGCGTGTGCCGTGGGGAGGGGATTCAGCGGGCTGTGCGGGGCGGCCGCACATGTGCGCTGCCTGTGCCGACCAAGGGCAAGAAGGGAACCGGTTTCTGTGCTCAATTCTTCGTTAGGTATTGAGCTATGATGGGCAGATTTTTAAATCCTTTCTTAAAACTAACAAACCAGAAGAACCTCATGCCTCATATTATAGACGTTTTATCAGCTCTGTCCCGATTTAAGAGAACTTTCTGGGATAAAGTCACTGTTACTACTGTGCTTTTGAAGAACCCTTGTGTGCCTGTACCTGGTGTGCATGCCTGTGTTGTAAAGGGAGCTGCTGGCCTTTGGAAAGGAAGTGACTGTGTCTCATTATTCTTTAATGACAGCAGGTCCCCGGGCGCCTGCTGTGGGCATGCCGTCCTCCGCCTGCGGCGTGTCTCTGGCCTGGGCTCTTCCCTTTGTCCCTGTCTTGCTCCCCTGCTTGGCAGCCTCGCGCCACGTCTTTGCCTGTGGCACTGGGTCCGCCCGGTGTTCACAAGCTCCCTGTGTTTCCCCTTGGTTAGAGCTCGACTAGACTGGACAGTGACAGGGCGGTGTCCGCCTTCAGCACGGCCGAGCGGGGGATGGTGCGGCCCACGGTCAGAGCGGAGCAGCAGCCCGAGCACCGCGGGCAGGAGCGCAGGTAGGCGCCGCGGCGGCCGCTCTGGGGCAGGGGCGGCTCCCCTGAGGGGTTCGGGGCAGAGGGTGGTGGGCCCGTCGAGGTTCAGGCGGCGTTTCTAGAGCACAAGCGGTGTCTGTGAGTCTTTCCTCTTCATGGTGTTGGCTGGGGGGAAATGGCTTCATCCAAGCTGCAGCGCTCCTGTGCGGTTCCTGCGCGCAGTGTGATCCTCTGTCAGAACGTGGGAAGAGCTTTTATAGGGCTTCAGTATTTGATGATTTGTATATTTATACAAAACTCACCATGTTACCTGTTTTTAGAAGAAATCCTCACGTGTTTAAAAATACACAAAGCCGAAAGGGAACTTGAAGTAGGGTTTTTAGGGACTGTGTGGCCCATCACATGCCTGGTCTGACTCCGATGTAGCGTGTGTCCCTGCCAAGGTGGATGGGGGTGAATCATTTCCTCTGCCTTGTTCGTGCCTAGTTCTCGCCTAGTGTCTTGAACAGAGAACTTCAGCCTTTTGTTACTTTATTATTTTTAAATTATGTCGCCCTCATAAATCAGAATGTTACTTCTCTTTGACTTCTAAAGCTGTTTGAATGTTGAAGAGCGATGTCATGCTTACGACGCAGTGGCTCAGGAGCAGATGGCGAGCCCCAGAGCCGGTCCCCTAGGCTGCAGCGTGGCCGGTGCTCGCCGCACGCGGGCGGCTGGGGGGACGCGGGACGCCCTGCGCTCCCGGGTCAGCACTGTGGCGGGGCTTTCGCGTTCAGATCCCCAGGGCGGCCATCTGGGCCCCTTGCACAGACAGGCGCATGGTAGCTGAGGCGGGGCGGGCAGGTGGCTTGGCCAGAGCCCCAGGGGCGGCCGCGGGCAGGCCGTCCCTCCTCCACGTCCAGCAGAGGGCGCCGTGTGTCCTGAGATTGCAACCTCATGCCTCCCAGCCTCACGTCGCAGGTTCGTGTGGACTCTCAGGGTTCGCCTTGATTTTATGGTGGCTTTTGGTTATTATCCTGGGGTCTGTGGGCTTTGGGAGTATTTTAGGATGTAACAGGGGACAGACCCTTTCCGTGTCTGTGTGCGTTTTGGTGCATGTTCCAGAATGAGTCGTTCGGAGTGGCGGCTTGGGGCTGAGGCGGCCCAGCCTGCGGCCGCGGTGGCAGGCTGGCGCGGGCTCTGCTGTGAGCCCGCGGGGGTCCGAGCGCACGTGTGCAGGCGTGGGGGGGGGGCGGGGGGGCAGTCTGCGGCTGGGAGACACGAGGCTGTGCGCGCGGTGTTTAGGCAGTGGGGGCGGTGTGACAGCGGCCGCGCGAGAGCGGGTTCGGGTCGGAAATCACTCCATTCCGTGGACGCGCGTAGTCATTGCTTCAGGGTCAGGTTGTTTTTCTTCGCAAAGACTTCCTAAAGGTTTTACTTGAACTATACGTGTGTGTTAGTGATAACAGCGACAGAAAGGGGTTCCTCCCATTTTGAGTCTTTGGCAATGTTGTTGTGAGGGATACATACTGTAATTGCTACATTTGTAAGAACCTAGGTGGCGTTAATGACCATGTTTAAAATTCTGAGCGTGGTCAAGGAACAAACTGTTGACTGATGGGAGTGACTACGTTACCCCTGACGTTTCATTTTTTCAATGAGAATTTAAATTTCTTAAAGTTTATCTAGCATCATTTTATGGATATTAAGTAGAAAATAACTGTTTACCTGTAATTTTGATTGTCTATAAATAGGGCAGTGTAACAGAAACATTAAAATAGAGCGTTTAAATTATACTGCGTTTATGAGTATTTTTACACCTAAATTGTTGAGTCAAATCTAAGTAATTAAGTCATAGGCTACATAAACCTCGATGCATGTAATTTGATGAAAACCGTTTTGTTTTCACTTGCACTGACCCTCCGGGTGCGCCCTCACCCCGCCTCTCCGGCAGCACCTGGGGGGCGGGGGAGGGGCTGGCACCAGCAGCCAGTCTGCCGTCCAGCAGGCCTGTGGCCCGTGGAGGTGCCTGTTTGCTGTGTGTTTTTCGTTCTTGAAGACCTTTTTTATTATTTGAACCAACTTATTTAATGAGTGGCCATACGAATGACTTACTTCTGGCCAGTTTATTACCGTTTCTCTAAGATGAATAGACTCAAATGTTGTTGCTGCAACGACTGTCACTTGAAGGCAGGAACAGACGCAGACGGCCTGACGGCCACGACTCCCCGTTTCGCCAGATGAGACTGACCTGGAGCAGGGTTGGCCACGGCTCGGTTGGAGCCAGGATTTCACTCCGTAGGTGTTTTCATTCCAGCGCAAATCGTCATCATCCCCACTGTGTAATTTTCAGTTAACTTTGCAAAAAAGGGAAAACATATATACCTTGCATATTTTTAAAAAGCTTTTCCTTACTAATGGCTTTCAAATATTTTTGATCACAACGCACAACACAAAACATGGAGCTGAAAGAAGAGTTTCATGGGACAACGCCGCGTCCCTGCCGGGGCAGTGCCGCTGCCACGTGAAGGGCGTTTCAGGACACATTACCTAACCTTTGAATTAACTTGCTCTTGGGTACCTAGAAGTGCATAAACGTCGGTACAGTGCTAGTTCTTAGGAATGTTCAAGCCATAGTTTCTCTTTCTTTACATTTTTGGCAGTTGCTTATTTTTGCAGCGTCGGGCTAAGTGGTCCTAAGTGCTGCACATCAGTGTGACTTGACGAACAGTGCGCGTGCGTGAGCTGCCTTCTGTGAGGCCTGCATCTCTGAGTGTCGGAGACCCCGGCCAGGGGGCTGAGGGTCTCAGGGGCCCCTCGGTCCTTTTGTCGGGAGAGGAGGATGGTGTCTGCCTCGGAGGGGTTTCTCTTTCGTGTCCTGGGGCTCGGTTCCGGGATCTGCGTGGTCCAGGTTTTCTTCGTGGTCCAGGTTTTCTTCGTGTCTGCAGCGGGGCGTCTTCATGGTCACCTGAGCCAGGGCTGCAGCAGGTGCACAGCGGCCCGTCTCCGCTCTTCCGAGTCTTCATCAATAATGGAGAGTGGCGGTCAATCTGCTCTCCCGAGGGGGGCGGCTGCCAGCGCGCGCGCCTCGGGGCTGGCCGGGCGCCTTGGGGAAAGGGGGCGGGGGCGGGTTCTTACTAGGTCAGGAAGATGGCACAGAGGTTTCTTTAAAGCTCCAGAGACCTGCACGGGTTGTCGGGATTGTATCAGCTTCCTGACCTGGTGTTAAGGGGTGGCACCATCCTTCTTTCAGGACGCAGGAGGCGCCCGGCCCCGAGCTGACGCTGCCCGCCAGCATCGAGTTCCGGGAGAGTGGTGAGTGGCCGCAGGCCCTGTTGTCGTGGGGGGTTTGCCGTCCCTTTCTCCAGCTGATTTTCATGATTTTTGCTTTTTCTTTTGTCCCCGAAATCTTCTCCCAGCTGAAGATTCCTTTTTATCTGCCATTATAAACTATACCAATAGCTCCACCGTCCATTTCAAGTTGTCGCCTACCTACGTGTTATACATGGCGTGTCGGTATGTATTGTCGAGCCAGTACAGACCTGACGCCAGTCCGGCCGAGCGCACGCACAAGGTGGTCGCCATCGTCCACAAGATGGTGAGCATGATGGAAGGCGTGATCCAGGTAGGCCGTCCGCACTCTCTTCTGCGTTTCAGATTGGGTTACGTGTTTGACTTTATCTTAAGGGTGTTTCCTAAAATAAAAGTTACAAAATTGCATTGAAAATTGTATAGCTTTAAAAGTTGAAAAGAAATGTAAACTTTTTCCATTTACTTCCCACAAACTTAAGGGCAGATAAATTGCGCATGGTAACAGAATTATCACGAAAAAGGCCCTTACAGTAGTTCTTGTGAGGAAGCCTTGAGATTTGATGTGGGTTTTCTTAGAATTTTTTACAAAATAAGGGATTGAGATGAAATTTACATGACATAAAGTTACTCATTTTAAAAGGGACGATTCGACAGCGTTCAGCGTGGCACAGCGGCCCCAGCGCTGTCTGGTCCCTGACCACCCCGGGCCCGCTGAGCAGGGTCCCGCCCCTCCTCCGGCACGGGCAGCCGCTTCCTGGGGCCCTTCTCAGGCAGGGAGGGCGGAGGGCGCGGCTCCTCTGTGCGGAGCTCCTGGGCTGCTCAGCCGCGGGGCTGTGGGGGGGCGATGCTGCAGGGGCCTCGTGACATTTCTCGTGATGGAACTTGGGTCCAGATTCTTTCCTGAATCAGTTTTGAAAATTTGGGGGAAGTAAAGCATGTTCTCTTGGTAGAGTGGTTTGTTTCTTTTAGGAACCCTCTATAGCTGATGAAATGCCAGATCACTTTTCCAAACTTATGGAGAATATGAAGATTTAATGATAAAGTAAAATGTACTGATTTTTTTTAAAGTTTTCCTAAAACACGTATCAGTGCAATTACTTTCTAGAAAACTCCAATTATGAAGTGTTAAGTGACACGATTAGATGGTTAGGTTGTTTTTCTCCTGTCAGGGTAGTTGGAGGAAAACTAATCTTTTAATCCCTTCAGAATTGTTTTCAATGCCAATTTTTTTTAAAGACGTGTTTCTTTTATGTTTGAGTGATTAGCATGTGCATTTGATGGGGTTATTGTTTTACCCAAGTAAAGATAGAGATGAAAAAGGAACGTCATTTTATTTGGATACTGTTTTGTTATTCTTACTATTTCATAAACAGATGTGATTTCCGTTTCAGTTGTCATTCAGAGCCATTGTCTGTCTTACATCATGTTTGGATTTGTAAAGCCTGTTTCACATCAGGAGGCTCCTACCAGCAGCTACTTTTGATAGACTTTTCCATATTGAACTTGAACTTCACTGAAATCACCATTATCAAAACAAGTTTTTTAATTTCAGATTTAGGTTTAGTATATGGTTGGCAGAATCTTAACATTTTAGAAACAGACTATGGTGGTGAACAATTTGTTTTGTTTTGTTTTTTTTAATAGGTTCTTTTAAGATTTTATTTATTTTTAGAAAGGCAGGAAGGGAGGGAGAAAGAGAGGGAGAGAGCCGGTGTACGATCAGCCGCCTCTCGCAGGCCCACGCCCGGGGACCTGGCCTGCCAGGCACGCATGTGCCCGGACCCAGACTCAGACCTGTGACCCTTTGTTCCGTGGGACAGTGCCCAACCTACTGAGTCATAGTGGTCAGGGCTAATTTAAATTTTTTAATTTAAAAAAATCCACTTTCAAAAACAATTTACTTTTTTTAGTAGAGGTTTGTTTTTTTATATTTTTAGATTCTCAATTTCCTTGACTTTTATTTTTGTTGTTTCTGTTGATCTTTCATGTCTCTTTCATTCTTATTAATTGGCCCAGGGGAAGAGACTCATCTTACAGACCTTGAAGTCCTCAGACTCATAGTACCATTTAGACCTTCAGAAGGCCTCCCCTTGTCAGTCTTCTGAAGCGCTCAGTGTGCATTGCAGCATCTTCTTTGTAGGCGAGCTCCCCGGGAAGCCACTTAGCTTCAGGGCCAGTGTTAGGACACAGACCTGGCCCTGGTGCCGTGGACGCCGAGAGCCGCGCCCGGGCCAGCGATGAACGTGTGATTGGGGAAGGCCGAAACTAGGTGTCATGCCGTCGTGTCGTGCCTTCCGTTGAGTGTTTTGGTTTTTTGGAACTGTCGTGATTGTTTACACGTTTCTCTCTCTCGTTCTGCTCGATTTCCCCTCGCCTGTTTTCCTCCAGGAAGTAGACCAGGTCGACCAGGTAGGACCTGCTGCTGGGAGCTGGCCCCAGCCATGCCGGCTCAGCTGAGCCTCTCATGCCGCTTCCATGTCAGGCCCAGCGCCCCGCCCACGGGGCTGCGCCGCCCTAACACTCATTCCGCCGCTGAGACACGCACTACTAAACCCTCTGGGCTGTGCAGCCTGCACCAGCATTTCATGACTTCTGCTTCACGCACCTCAGTGTGGATATGAAATGACGGCGGTTCTGCTTCTCCTCCTTGTCATTTACCCTCGGTTCCTACTCTTTGGGTCTCACCTGAGGTGGCCTGGCCTGCACATGCGGTCGGGAGAGGACGCGCTAGGCCATCTCTTGATACCGAGTGGCTTGTGTCCAAGCCAGTGGCTGCGAGTATCAGGGTGGCTGTGGGTAGCCGTGGGTGCGTGTGTGCTCACAGATTACCAGATAGTGCACGGCCTCCGATTTGGTGCTGCGATTCGATGCCCCCGTTTCTCCATTGAGTCTGCGAATGGTAGCCACTTAGAGCCATGTGTCTCCATGAGTCCTGGGAAGTCGCGGTGGTCATTTATTTTCCACCGCTGTGCGTGTGCCAAATTCCTTTGCAAATATCTGGTATCTGTGGTAACTACCTTGGCGAAAACGGGAAGGCACTGGCCTCCGCTCCGCAGCTTCCCAGAAGCACCCCTTTGCACCGCTGTCCTCCCGCCCGCCCGCCGCGGCTCACGGCCATGTGTTCTGCCCGCAGAAGCAGAAGAATATCGCGGGGGCGCTCGCCTTCTGGATGGCGAACGCGTCAGAGCTGCTCAACTTCATCAAGCAGGACCGAGACCTCAGCCGGCTCACGCTGGATGCTCAGGATGTGCTGGCGCACCTGGTTCAGATGGCCTTCAAGTAAGGGGCGCGCTTGGGCCGGGACGCTGCTCTCTAGGCGTGCCGAGTTTTCGTAACTGTCTGTAAAGGCTTGTGTTTGCCCTGATTCCATAATGTCAAGAAACATAAGTAACTCTATGCAAAATGTGTTGACTTCGTAAGTTGCATTTTGCCAGTGAGCCGGGTTTCATGAACCCTGAGAGTCAAGCCATTAGATTTTTTAAACGAGGATGCCCCTGAAGGGCACAGACTGTCGCGCCCACGCTGGGCCTGACGGCAGCGGTCGGTCACGCCGAGCTCATTGCCAGTGTCGGTGCGTTTCCAGGTACCTGGTGCACTGTCTTCAGTCGGAACTGAACAATTACATGCCAGCCTTTCTGGATGACCCTGAAGAGAACAGTCCGCAGAGACCGAAAATAGGTTAGGATATTCCTTTTCTCCTTCTTCCCGCCCCTGTTCAACTTCATTTCAGTATTTGACATTGAACGTAGGTAAGAGGGAGGGATCATGAACCTGAGCGGCCCGCCCGCCGGACCTGGCGCCGCCCCCCGTTCCGACCGAGCGGCACTCTCGCGCGCCTTGCTGGGCGGGGGTCTCAGAAAGCCTCCCCGGGTGAGCGCTCAAGGGGGGCGGTGCCGCGGCCTGGACCCACGGGCCCCGCTGTAATCTGCGGCGCCGCGCGCCACCCGCACCCCCCCCGCCCCCAGCGAGGCTGGTGCTGCCAGGGCTGCCGGTGTCCGGAGGGGCTGCCGCTGCACGACTGCACCGAGTGACCGGCCGCCCCGCCCCGTGTCCCCGAACAGATGACGTCCTGCGTGCACTGACGGGGGCCATGGCGCTGCTGCGGCGCTGCAGAGTCAACGCTGCCCTGACCATCCAGCTCTTCTCCCAGCTCTTCCACTTCCTCAACATGTGGCTGTTCAACAGGCTGGTGACGGACCCCGAGTCGGGGCTGTGCTCTCACTACTGGGGGGCCATCGTCCGCCAGCAGCTGGGGCACGTGGAGGCGTGGGCGGAGAAGCAGGGGCTGGAGCTGGCCGCTGACTGCCACCTCAGCAGGATCGTGCAGGTGGGTCGCCCGGGGCCCGCCGCGCCCGGCGAGCGTGTGGCCCGTGACAGCCCGATTCTGGCGTGGGCGGCCGCGTGCGCGCGGCAGAACCCAAGGCCCCGCGCCGGGGTTTCTCTCACACACAGCCATGAGCCCACCGGGTGCCCATCGGCCTGGGTCCCGGAAATAGCGCGGAAGGCTTGGGGCGGACGCCACGGGAGCGCACCGTCTCAGCTCGCAGGCCGGACGTCCGGGGCCGTGGCCACAGCCAGGCGGAGCTGGGCTCTCTGGGCTGCGAGGGGGCTCGGCTCCAGGCCTCTGAGCCCTGGGGGTTTGCTGGCATTTGGGGTGTCTAGGCTGATAGAGGCCGCCCCCGCCCTCGGTCCTCGCCTCCACAGGGCCTGCCCCCTGTGCACATGTCTGAGTCCAATGCTCGCTTTTTACCAGGGCTGCGGCTGCGGCGGCTCCCCTGGCCCCTGGCCTCACTGGACGGTTCTGCCGAGGCCTGTGTCTGGGTAAAGCCGGCGTTGAGGTGCCCGGGTTAGTGCTTCCACGGGCAAACTGGGAGTGCAGTGTGGCCCTCGGCTGGTGGTGACCAGTGCAGTCGGTGTCCTTAACAAGCCCTTTCTATTGAGCTTGGCGAGGTGAAGGTAGATTTTAATTTAAAACTGGACAGCGGTTAACACCTAAGAACACAAAGCCAGGGAACCACGAAGCAAAAACCTACGCAGTTGTGGCTACACAGAAGATAAGGGAAAGAAACTGAAGCGTGCGCTCCCTAAAGTTCTCAGGGCGCCCGGAACGGGGCAGGGGAGGAGGAGGGGGCCGGCGTGCAGAACAGACCCATGTCCTGGGGGTGCAGGGGGCAGCTCCTGGGGGGCAGAGACTGAGAACTGCTGGTTACAATCAAGGAAATGGCTATTCACAACTTCCAAACCTAGGACCATGGCTTTTGTTACCACAGTGTGCAGTTGTGTGTTTTTCTTCTCAGTTTCTTAGTCTGATCGGAAGAGACGAGCACAGAAAAGGGTCCCCCCCCCCCGCTCTGCAGTCGCTCCTCTCAGAAAGGGCTGTGGCAGCGGCGCCCTGTTCGGGCCCCAGTGTCGGGCCGCCTGAGCGGCTACTAACTGGTCAGAGTTTTGACGAGAATTTTTTAAATGCTTGATGAACAGTGCTTGAGTTTCATTATTTAAATGTTTCAGTAAAATGAAGACATCGAACACCTTTCTGAGGCCATCCTTCCATTTCCGTTTGCTCACGTGAACGGAACTGTCCCTTAAAAAATACCCCGAGTTCAGAATCGAGTCTGCACGGCGGCTCGGGAGCGGCCACGGCACCCGTGTCATGCCGCCGCCCCTCTCCCCTAGGCCACCACGCTGCTCACCATGGACAAGTACGCGCCTGAAGACGTTCCGAATATAAACAGCACCTGCTTCAAGCTGAACTCGCTGCAGCTTCAGGCCTTGCTGCAGAACTATCACTGTGCACCTGATGAGCCCTTCATCCCTGCGGTAAGTGGGTGGCCTCGCAGCCACACAGCAGGGGGCACGTTTGCACAGGGAAGTGAGGATGATGTCGCCTTATGTCCTTAGAAGGAAGCTTGTTTACTCGACCATCTTACAGGGTCATTTTTGCTGTCAACATACGAGTTTGGGTTCAGTGCAAGAAGAGGCAACTACATGAGCATTTTAAGGTAGAAAGGCATTTAACAGGGGACCAGATTCTTGGAAAACTGCTGGAAGGCCAGTGGCGAGGATGCTGAGCAGTGGCCCTGGAGCCCTCAGTTCGCATTCCGCCCCTGCAGCTGAGACCCAGAGGCCCCGGCCTGCTGCCACGGCCACGGGCGTCCTCGTGACGTTGGGGCGGAGGGCCTCCCGGGCCGGTGCGGGGCGCCTGCCGGTGCGTCCAGACCCGCACTCGAAGCGCCTGGGGGTGCGGCGTTCCTGTCATGAGGGTGAGAGCGCCCCGCAGGGTCTGTGCGGCTGGCCGGCTGCGAACGGCGTCGCAGCTAAACAAGACCCCCGGGGCAGGTGTCCTGAGACCAGAGGTCCGGGCCTCGCGTGGGCACACAGGCTGGCCGACCTCCAGGACTGAGCGGCCCCACAGCAGACATCCGCAGAATAGCCCCGCGCCGGACCGCGCCGGCTGCCCACCCGTGCGCGGCGTGTGAGCAAGCCGTGTCGTGGTTGCTGAGGGAACGTGGCACGAGTGGCAAAGAACACGGCACAGCCGTGACGACGTGGAGGAATGCTGTGGCGTAGAGTGCACGGAAGAAGTCAGATGCAAGCTACACGCGATGTGCTCTGTCTGTGTGCCTTTTGAGAGCAGACGGGGGATGCGGTGCTGGGAGCCGGGGCAGCAGGGACTCCGTGAAGGGCAGGGATGGGGCGCAAGGGGCCGCTCGCCGCTGCCGAGCTGGCGCGTTCGCTTCCGGTGCTGTGACCTGAGGCTCTGCGGGCCCTGCGGTGCGTGTGGTGCCCTCGGGAAAACTTCTAAACAACAGCACTTACTCATCCGTAATTCAGAAACAGTCTCTGAGTAAGCTGGAAATGGGTGTTTTATCTTGGTTCTTACACGTTGTGGGAGCTTTCTCCCATATCATTAAACATTCTACAAAAACAGAAGGATGAGCACTGGATGTTGAAGAATTGTGCCAGGAAATAATGATTACTTTTAAATGAGAGAAAATCTGTTCTGTTGTGGTTGAACGATTTCTTTTTACCTGAAGCTACACATCATTGGAAGTTGACGATGACTCCCTCCGCCGTGTGCGGGAGCGAGCCCAGGGCCGCTGGGCTGCCTGGGGGGCCGCTGCTGGGCCCACTGTCCCGTGGCGCCTGCAGGGGCGGGGCGGCCCTGGCCAGCGACTCTGTCACAGGCGTCTGTTTGCAACGGTGCGTGTCCCCCGGCCAGGAACTGATAGACAACGTGGTGGCTGTGGCTGAGAACACGGCGGACGAGCTGGCCCGCAGCGACGGGCGGGAGGTGCAGCTGGAGGAAGACCCCGACTTGCAGCTGCCCTTCCTGCTGCCGGAGGACGGCTACTCCTGTGACGTCGTCAGGAACATTCCCAACGGCCTGCAAGAGTTCCTGGACCCCTTGTGCCAGAGGGGTAAGTTCCGTTCATGGTGTCTGCGCTCGGAGCTGCGACCCTGTTCGGGGAGCGTTTAACCAGTTCTGTGTTCCCGCATGACAGTCCCCTCACATGGAGGGACTCCGTGTGCTTCTGAAGGAGGTGTTCCAGGGCAGGGAAAGAAGCGTTTCCTGGTGACACAGGGTCACAAATGGCCAAAGCTGTGGGGAGGCCGCGCCCCGCCTGTGAGCCCTCGCTGGGTGGCACAGTGGCACGTGGGCCTGGGCTCGCGGGGGGCCCTCAGTGTCCCCCCCCCTTCTTGGGATTTGTCAGCCGGGTCACTGGGCGCAGCCTCTGGAGCTAAAGCATCGCTGTCAGCGTTGGAGCGGCACCGGCGTCGGCTAGGAGGCCGAGCCTTGACCCCTGCCCGTCCAGTTCCCTATGACACAAGGGCCGCGGTGACAGCCCGCCCGTGGGGTGGTGCCGAGCGTGGGCGGGCTGCCGCGGGTCTTTGGGTGCGGGCTCTGCTGCTGCCACCCCCGTGCCAGCCCGCACTCGGCTGGGCCGAGAAGCCCTGCCCAGCGCATCCTGTAGAGTGTGGCTCAGGCCCCCGCTGTGTGTCGGGCCTTGTCCTTGCTTCCCCCCCAGACGTCTGCTGAAAAAGTGTGGTCTCTCCTGAGGCGGGAGCTGGTGCGTTGGACCAGCTTCCTGGCCCGGCCTGCTGCTGCTGCTGCTGCTGCTGCTGCTGCCGCCGCCGCTTTGTAATGAGGAGCTCGGGAGTCCCATTAGGCCAGAAATAGCACGTAGCGGTGAACGTCGGACACTTCCCCTTCCAGAGGAAGTGAGGGCGTGGAGAAGAGCCGTGAACACTGTCGCTGGGGGTCAAGCCTTCAAGGCTGCGTGCCGGTTCCCCCCGCAGCGGCGTGCGCGGCGTTGGCACGGTGTCCTCTTCGGCCGTGCAGCTTGTCTCCTTCCCCTCAGGGTTCTGCAGGCTGATTCCTCACGCGCGCTCACCGGGCACTTGGACGATCTACTTTGAAGGTGCAGATTACGAAAGCCACCTGATGCGAGAGAACACAGAGCTGGCAAGTGTGGTGAGGGCGATGGGCGGGCGGAGAGGCGCGTGTGGTCCCCAGGTTGGGGGTGGGTGGCAGGTTTGTTCCTTGCTTACAGTGAGCACGCTGTGAGAGGAGGGTTTTAAAATCACCTGTAAACACTAATTTAAAAATTTTGAACCCACAATGTGTACATGAAATTTTTATTCCAGGCCATGTATATATAGTTTTGTCTATAAACAAATGGTGCTTTTAAACAACTGAAGTTTATTCCCACCACTATACCAGCCTTAACGTTAATACACGTTTTTAAAACATCATAGTAGGGTAGCCTTAATAGATTTTATTAGAAAATGTTTTTCTTTGCTAAAAATACTTTTTTGTGGTCAGTTCTGCCTTGTCTTAAACACGTGCCAAATTGTTCACTGACACGCGTGTCTCTGGAAGAGCAGCGGGCACTGGCCAGCTCTGTGCGTTCCGAGGGCCGCCCCGCGCTGCTGCACTCGGAGAGCCGTGGGCTGGCTGGTGCCGCCCCATGCCCGGGACGGAGGCGCCGGCTCCCCACTGTCCCCCGCCCGCACCCTCACGCCTCTCTGTTTGAAACGCCAGCGCTGAGAAGCTCCCTCCCAGGCCTGTTCAGTTTCATTTACCTCGAGTGTCGCTGTAACTGCCACTCTCGCCTGCTAAGCCACCTCGGGAGCAAGCAGGCGTGACCGCACGCTTGCCAGTGTGGCTGTGGGAAGGCGGCGCTCTGTGTGCGACTGGCCGCAGCCATTGAGTCCCCTGGCCGCCCAGCCCCGGACGGCACGGAGGCTGCAGGCCTGTGAGATCTGCGAGGCTGAGCGAGCCGCGCTGCGGCACAACAGCGCCGGGCGCCGCAGCATCCGGGACCTGCCCGTGCTGCCCCGGGCGACCCCCGTGGCGTCCCTGCCCCGCACCCGCTGTCTCAGCGTGGAGGCGGGGGCACGCGGCGGGGCTTGCGGGGTGAGACGTGTGTTTTATATGTCGCAGTTAAAGGAGTCACTTCGCTGCGGTTCAGGGCGCAGTGCAGGTGGGAGCGCGGTGGTGCCCGCCTCCCGGGCTGACGGGGTTAGTGACTTCTGCTTCGTGAAGAGACACCCCATGTAACCACTGACACGGGGGACATGCCTCCCACCCCGATTATTGACCTCATGCGCTGCTCTTTTTCAAGTTCCAAGGGATAGCAATTTCCAGTGCCCAGATTTTATAGAAAAATGGGGGTCTTTAGATGGAATTACTGATTCTTCATCTTTCTAGTGTAGTCACAGATACCCCCCAGAGCTTTCAGGTCTTAATTTAAAAATAAAAAAGAAATCCTCCACCGTCACCTAATCTTCATTCCCTTTAAGTGATCGTGCACAGACTGTGGTTCTGTCGCGGTGCCCCGGCGAGCCTGGCACAGCCGCCTCGCACTGTGCACGCGCCACTAGCTCCGGCCCCAGCGGCCGTCCTCCGCGGTCACAAGTGCCCCTCGGCGTGAGCTCTGACATGCGTGTAGCACGCCCATCCGCGGGCCGCGTCGTGTCCCCCTGCGTCTGTGGGCCCACGTGCTCACTGGCCCATTCTCCAGGACACGGCTTCCCGTCCCAGCTGAGGGTTGACCGCTGCGCCTGGACCTGGGGCCGCTGTGTTGTCCCAAGAGATGGGCGTTAGGTCGCTTTTGTGAGAACACCCTCCTCTCCCTATAGACAGAGCACAGCTAGTTTCAATTTCTTATTTAAAAAACACTCGACCGTGTATTCTGAAAAGCAATAAAGGAGAAATTTAACTTTGTCATGTGACCGGGTTCCTGGAACCTGTTGGCGGTGGAACTTTAGTTTTGCACATTCCAGTCTTCGGAGAGCACGTCAGCAGCACCCACGACTCGATCTCCTTCGGCCCTCGGGCTGTGGGTGCCAGCCTTTCCTGCCCCGCTGCCCCTGCACTGCTGGACGGGCCCCCCACCGTGGGGGCCGGTGTGGACGTCCACCGCAGCCGTGAGGTAAACCTCTGTCCCCACCCCTCAGGCTCAGCCTCTGCGGAAAGAGCCCGAAGTAATCACCGTGACCCTGAAGAAGCAGAACGGCATGGGCCTCAGCATCGTGGCAGCGAAGGTAGGACTGGCCGCCGCAGGGGTGTCCGCTCTGTTTTGGGGGGCGGGTCCGGTGTTCTGGGAGCCAAACCCTGGCGCCCAGGCCCTGGGAGTGCAGGGGTGGCCTCCCCTGGGAAGGGGAGCGAGGGCACCTGGAGGTCGCCCCGGAGGCTCGGGAGGGGGCTGGGCCGCGGCGGAGCCGGGCTGCCCCGGCGGGCAGGCGGCTTGGCCCCTCAGAGCTGTCGCTCTGGTGCCGTGGGTGGGTCTGTCGCCACGCCACAGTGGGCCGGTGGGAGCAAGGTCTGGGCCCGAGTGAGCATGGCTGGCTGTGGGCACAGGCCACGGCGGGGCAGCTGCCTCCCAGGACCGCAGGGGCTGGCTGAGCCCTGGTCTGCGTCGTGGAGGGGGTGCTTCCCAGGGGGCCTGCTGGGGTCCTCAGCGATCCCCCGACTCCAGCTGACAGAGCTGCTGCCACTGGGCCTTTGCCCGCCCTTGCCTAGCCACTGGCCGCATGCCTGCCCTCGTCCGTGATTGCGCTTGCTGCACTTGCTCGCCTCTCTGCCCCAGTCCCTGCCCGAAGCTCCTGGACTGCTGCGTGTCCTCTTATGGATGAGGGAGCGTGGAGGGGAGGTGGTCTCTCTCTGCAGCCGGGATGGGGGGGTGCGTCATTCGGTCGTAAGCACAGTGCGTGACTGCAGAGCCCTTACTGCCATTGAGGGGTGTGTGCCTGGCAGTCGGCAGGGCCCCGCCGCGGAGGTCCGCTGGGGCCCGGGGCCATGGGGAGGCTCCAGGCGGTGCTGTGCTGCCAGGACGGACGCGGCCTTCCGCCGCCTTGACTGCCGCCGGAGCACGCCGGGCAGGGCAGAGGGGTCGCTGGCTCCTGCAGCAGTGTGTGTCCGGGGGGGTCGCCCGGTGTCCGTGGTGTGAGCGAGCTGTGCAGCTTCCCTCCCGCCTGTGTGCCTCCAGGGTTTTTTGTTGTTTCTTCTGCTGATACATTTAAAGAGAGATTTGTACAAAGTAACAGTAGTAATAAAGTTTGGGTATAGGGTCATAGAATTGAGGCTTAATGGGGAATAGTAACAACACAAAGTTAGAAGCCTATAATACAAAAGATGAACTTTTTACTCACCGCAGCTCAAGTGGGGAACGTGACTGGCATATGCGTCTACACGGGACACGTGGCATCTGAATGAAACATGTCCCGTCTCACTCTGCTCCCCCACGTCACTCCCAAGCCTCCACGCGACGGTCTCTCCCGTTGCCCTGCACTTGCAGGGCCCCCGCAGAGGCGTGTCCCTTCCAGCCAGGCAGGGCTTTGTTGGTTTCGTTTCTGGTCTTTCAGATATTTTCCACAGTAAGGGGGGGGTGTGTGTGTGTGTGTGTGGGGGTGTGTGTGTGTGTGTGTGTGTGTGAAAATTCAGAACTGGAAGAAAAGTAATCATGAAAGAGTTGCTTAGAAAGGGCGTGGAGATGGTGCTGTGCCCGAGAGGGCTGACTCACCAGCTGGGGGAACACAGCCAAGGAGGCGGAGGGCGCCCTGGGCCCTCGTGGAGCTCCTCCTCCCGCCCAGAACACCTGCGCGGGCGGCCCCTCAGGGCAGGCTCCGGCCCGGGGGACGAGGCCTCGCCGGTGTGAGGGTGTGTTGAGTGTCTCCTCGGCCGTGCAGAGGAGGCTGGGGAGATGCCTTTTCAACAGAAAGCCAGAGGAGCGCAGGTGGGAGCCAGGTAGAGGTGGCGGCCGGTCCTAGCACGGGAGCGCGCGCAGCAGCCGGCCTAAGCCCTGGGGGGAGGGCAGTCCGTGCATCCTGGCGGGAAATCCGCCGGGGGTGGCCATCCCTGGTGGGTGGCTGGGTCCGCCAGCCTGTGGAGTGACCTGACCCCTGAAGGGCTTGCCGGGGTTGTGAGACAGGCGGGGAGGAAGGGGTTCCAGCGAAGCCGCCAGGTGGCCGGAAGGCAGTTCTGACCGTTGACTCTTGCCCGGTTATGGAGCCCGGGCTGGAGGGGCTCAGAGGTTTGGTCCCAGAGGCTGGTGGGTAAGCTCCTCCTAGTTTTCCAGGGGAGGTGACAGAGGCCCTGCAGGGGCTGTGGGGGGCGGGGGGCAGGTGGCACTGAGGGCTGAGGCTCCCTGAGGCCAGGCGCAAGTGCACTTGCTGCCCGGCTGGCGGGACTGGCCCAGGCTGGTGGGCGAAACAGAGAGGGCCCCTTGCGTGCGGCGGTGTCCCCGCAGCAGCGTGTGCGGGCCTGTCAGTGACGGGGCGAGGGCGCGCTGCTGCAGAGCGCCGGGCACACTGCGCCCGGGAGACGCCCCAGTGCGGTGCTGACCCTGCTCCCCGGAGACGCAGGGCCTGCAGGCCCTCCAAGGAGCGCAGTGCCTAGCAGAGGGGCCAGCAGCTGAGCGTGGGGCTCAAAGGCCAGAGCCAGTGGTGAGGCTGCGGCGGGGGCAGCTGCTGGCTGCAGCGAGGAGGGAGCTGGGGGGCGCAGGTCTGCCCTGCAGCGGGGCTGACAGGCGCCCCTCCCTCCGGCCCTGCGGGCTCAGCTCCCTCTGTCAGCTGGGCCCTGTGCCTGGGCGGCCTGGAGCCCCAGCGTCTCTCCAGGCCTCGGCCCAGCGAGGGAGGGTGGCGGCCTCCGCTGTCAGGTGAGGGAGCCGGGGGCCTCCAGAGCCCCGCCCCGTCACTCGTGCCCCTGCCACTCGCTGTGTGTCCCTCCTCGGCCGTGGCCGTAGCCGCGGCGCCGCTCGGTGTCTGCGGTTTCGATTCTGCCTCCGCGCTGTGGTGGTCTGCGCCTCCGGCCGGGCCTCCTGCGCATTTCCCTAACGAGCGTGTGGCTCGGCCGCTGGGAGCCTGGACATTGTTTTGATGTTCGGCTCCCTGACGCCCCTTCCACACTGCGGTTCCGTTTTATGAAATCCAGATGATTTGGAGCAGTTGTGTATGCAGTTTACTTTCTAAAACGCTGCTTCGGGAAGTTGAGCATGCTACTTCTTCCTCATCTGTGGGACAATGCGGTGCTTCCTGTTTGGATTTATAAAATACAAACAATTCCATCCTTTTCACTTTTCTGGCTCTTTTTAAAGTTTAGTAAAGTACAAAGTGAACAGAAATCAGAGCTGACCAGTTACGTAAGAGCCTGGACGTTGGTGTTGCTAAATGCCGTGCGGTGTCGCTGTGTCCAGCGCAGAGCTGAGGTGACCCAGCCTCACCCGCCCTGCTGGGCAGGCGGCCGTGGACGCGCGCGAAGCGGGCAGTGGTCTCCAGCTGGAGGAGGGGCTGTCATCCGGTCAGAATGTGGTTCTCCGTTGTCGGGAGAGCTGGCCCACCGGTGAGTGTCCCTGGTGCCGCCGGGGCGGGGGTTCCCGTGCCTGCCCCGCCGCGGTCTGTGAAGAATGTTTTTTCTTCCATTGTGACTTGTTTAAACCCGTCGCTAATTAATGCTCATGAAGCAGACATTTAACATAACTTGTAATTACACACCCAGATGTTTGTTGCCTTTCGTTTTAATGCTGCCAGTTCTTAGGATTCGTGAAAATACAAGGCTCCTGTATGCTTTTTATACAAGAAAAAAAACAAATTTAACCCTGCTGGTTATAATATGGTGAAAATTGCTCGACATAATTGTGGCTCCAGCCATGTAACTTGCCATGGGCACGTGCAGGGGAGTCCTTGCCCTCACTCTGTCTGGGCTGCGTAAAGTGGTCTTTAGGCTTTCTCTTAAACCCGTTTTTTCCTAAAAACAAGCATTAAATGACAACCTAAAAAGTACTATTAATATTTTACTATTTTATTTAAAAATAAATGGCTAATTCAGTGGTGTCTTAAAGATAGTTTTAGCGCATGCTTTCAGACCATAGACCGATGATGAGTTTTTAAGTTTCTTCAGCAGTCGGCCTAAAACATGCGACCCCGCCGCCCCTGCCCTCGACGCGGGGGCTGCGGTGCCGCCGGCAGGCCCAAGACCCCCTCTTGTGTTCTTGCCTGTCCGCTCCATGACCGTGTGGGCAAGGCCTCCTCCGAGACGTGAGCCAGGAAGCACTCGGGGACCTTTGTGGAATCGGTGCCCGGGTGCTCCGTGTGGTGGCCGGGCTGCTTTATGGGAATTCCAGAAATAGCTTTCCACTGACTTGTGTAAAATGACCCAGTGTCCTGCGTGACTCTTGCTTATGAGTTTGAAAACAATATTTTATATTCTAGTTCTAAAAGCAAAATAGTAAATTGTGTAAAAGAAAACTTTTTCCTTTTTGTAGTACTGGCCTAAGCGCTCAGGCCCAGGGTGGACTCAAGTGTAGGACCCAGTCAGGGTTAAAATCAGGTGACAGGGCGTGACTCCCCTGAAGCAGTCGCCGCCCCGCACGGTCGTCCCCTCGGGAAGACAGTGCCGCTGCAGGGTTTGTGCTGTGACAGGCACCTTCAGGCCGCCCTGGCCACGCCCAGCAGCCACAGCCAGGGCTTGGGGTCGAGGCGCAGCCCTGCCTGCGCACCCCGTGAGCCATGGGCGGAAGCGTGGGGTCGTGTGCGTCGGCCCCTCCCCTTGGGCTCACAGGTCACTCTGAGGAGCTCGGGAGAGCTCTGCGCCCTCGCCCTGATGCCCTTCCCGCGTGGCGGGGTGTGCGGGGTGTTGGGGCCCCTGCAGCTCCCGCAGCCCATCCCTGGGCCCAGCTCGGGGTGTCCTGTCTAGCTCATGTCCTTGTTGCACGGGGAAGGAACAGACTGCTGTTGCCATGTCTTTGTTTCGTAATTGATGCAGAGAGTAAACAGATGAGCGGCGCTGGGCCTGGAGCCCGGCTCGCAGAAGCCAGGCTTCGACTCGCTCCCGCCCTGCCCGGCGGGAGCGCCTCCTCCCACGCACCGTGCCCGTGCTGGGCGTCTTGTGTGCCAGGGAAGAACTTCAAAGCTGGTTATTTCGAAGTTAAGGGAATTCCTACCCCAAAGAGAGCTTCACGATGTTTTTAAACTTCAGTCCCCATTGTCATAGCAAACCGGCACTAGTCGACTGACCGGAAGTACCGTCTCAGACCGAGCACAGAGCC